GTCACAACAGGCCCGGGTACCAAAATGCAAACCATGGCCCCAGGCGACGGTCCGGCCCCGGGGCCTCAGTTCAGATGTTCAGGGTTCAGGAGAACGTACCCTGAATGAACCCCGAATGTGAACGCTCTTTGAATATTCATTCAGGGTTCATTCAGGGTTCTCCTGAACCCTGAATTTCTGGAAACCCACGGTGGCCGCAGGGGGACGGTCCGGGCCCCGCGGGGCCTCGGTTCAGAAGTTCAGGGTTCAGAAGAACCCTGAATGAACCCCGAATGAATGCCCCTTGAATATTCATTCGGGGTTCATTCAGGGTTCTCCTGAACCCTGAATTTCTGAAACCCCTCCGGTGGCTGCCCCCCCCGGTTACCTCGGACCGACCATACTTTAACTTAACCAAACCCACGGATCCAAGGCCCAGTCCCCCGGTCCAGACATTCAGGATTCAGAAGGATCCTGAATGAAGTCTGAATGAATTTCAGAAAAGTACGTATTTTTGGTGTACAAGCCGGTACGCACCTAGTATAAGGGTAATTTTATTGCGGCGCGTACCTACGGTACTTGTTCAAGACCCACGGTACGGTACCTCTTCTTGACGTCTCAGGTAGCGTTCAAGCCTTACGGGGAAGAACGGAACGGTCACGGAACCTGAATTCGGCGGAACTTTGCTTTCGACGTTGCGCGAAAACGCGCAAGGCTTGTAGTCGAGCCTTAGCTATACTGTTCAGGCATTGCGCGACGGTTTTCAGGCGCGCACTAGCCTGGCCTGAAGGAGTCCAAATGAATGCCCAAAAATGGGTGTTCAGGCCCCCACTGACATAGTATGGATCACCTGTACGTTTATTAAAAACATCAGTTGCCTACCCGGGCTTCATATATACATTGAAATTAGACATCTAGGACCTACTATGCAAAACTAATAGATAGATAATTTCATGTTTCCGAACTCAAAAGCTCCATGCTTCGGTACGGGCTTGTTTGACACCTTATTATAGTTTCGAGTACGCCCCGGTAATGACACCGTTTATTCGTCCCGTGATTGGCCAAAATCATTAACGCTGACTTGTTTGACCGCGTTTCTGACTTGACATAGGTACGCGCATCCCAACCTAGATTGCTTGCCTATAGAGCTTTTTACCGTCCGATCATGTCCACTGTGGAAACAGCCGAAGTGATCCGTTCGATTTGAAACCGTAACCCCGTCAATTTTATAAGCACTCGGTTGCCGATCAAACCCAATGATCTGGCAACAAAGTGTCTTCATCCGGTGCCAAAAGCAAGCAACTCCTTCCGTGCCCCCACTTTCATCCAGACCTCTTGACACCATTTTGAATAGAAATGATTGTTACCCGCTCGTGCACAATGACTAACTGACATACCCGCAAACGTAACCCTAGTAAGGTGGCCATTCTCTTTAACTGATGTATGTATGTATGTATGTATGTATGTATGTATTGACGCTGTTGCTCTTGCTAGGAATTGAACGCTTGATCGTTAGGTGAGGATCCGTAGATAAATCCGTCCACCACATTCACCACATGTACACTATTTCTTTCAAGTTGCCCTCTGGGCTATATAGCGAAAGAAACCATCTGGACCGTTGAATTTGCAGGCGTCGCCGGTTTCGGCCGAACCCTTTTACTAGGGTAGATCGCTGCATTGCATGCAGCGCTGAAACCTCCAAGCTGATGATGTCAAAACCCTAAATCGACGGAAATGCTTAGCTAGCTTGGATATTTGCTCAGGCACTTTTTAGCTCAAAAGTCAGAACAAAGTCAGTACCGTACGACCAAGGTATGATTCCGAATGCTCGAAAAAAGCAATTATTTTAGCGAATGCGAGCCCAAATCATGTATTATTTTCCACTTTCTTACCCTAAATCCGAATGGCCAGGAGGTACCTCGGTACCTACGTTTTCGAGGTTTGTCGCCGCATACGGTACGTACCGTATACTCATACGGCCTACAAATCATTTTCCGAACGGGATTTAGCAATTATTTTCGATTTCCGAAAAAGCAGAATCCGACTGCTTATCCGGAGTTTCCAACTTTCCGAATGCAGATAATTGTTTATTTATTCGGAATCATACCTTGGTCGTACGGTACCGAGCTGTCGCAATCGACCCCGGGGCTTTGAAAAAGGGGGAAGTGGCGATGCAGACTGGTTCACTCTATTAAGCCTGCTTCGGCCCGTCGAAAGCTGATTTCAGAGACTCAAAACCTGAAATTGCAGACTCCTGTTTTCGACGGGTTTTGAGGTTCGATGCCCCGAAAACCTTTTTTTGGGGGCATAAACCCTGAACCCTGCACGTGCCGGCCGGGGCCTGCCCGACCGAGGTTGCGGCCTTGTGCCTCGCGGTCGGCAGGGCGGCCGACAAGTTCAATGCCAGTACCGTATACTTGGCAACTAGATATCGAGTCAAGCGGGTACATGCTCGGCCCCGGTACAGTGATACTACCAATATTTTAATACCGATAAATGTTGTGCACTAAATATCGGTATAAGACCTTTTCCACGCATTTCTATATGAAATACTGTGTTTTAACAGTCAGAAAATGCGACCTCGAACTAGGGGCTAGGCTTGCGAATTCAAGCCAGATATTCTTGAATATTCCGCCTTTAATTGTAAACCGAGCAATTGCAGCATTTTGCTGCCTACATTTATTTGACACACCTGACAAAAGCAGCTTGCAGAAAATGCGGGCTTCCTTCCTTCTTTGTTCAGATAGCCGAATGTTGCCATTGAAGCTGCGTCTGCCGCCCCTGGTTTGCAATGGAGCTCAGGAGTGGGAAGCGCATGCGCCAGGTGGAAGCTTTATCTGAAGGTGAGCTTTTATATGATTGCCAAGGAGTGCATTCAATTGGGGAATGCGGTCAGGCCCCTTGCTTTCAAAAGACCGAATTGATACACCGATGAAACAGATATTCGATCATTTTTAAATGGCAAGTCAATCTGTTCATTGTTACAATGTTTAGACATGTTGATTGGTGGTGGTATGGCTTTGTAGTAAATCAGAGTGCTTGTGATTGGACATCTTAGAATGCACTGCCATGAATTGTTCTTCGGTCAGATCTTATACAAGCCCCTTTTCTGAAGAGAAAGTATGACTGAGACTCTAACGTCGGGGAAGTGAAGAAGGACACTAGCTGCCACTTTACATCTGGACTGTGCATGAGCTATGCCAGAAAAGCCGCAATTTATAGTAACTTCATTTTCAACTGCTGGACTTTATAGCTGCACAAGTCCAGAACAGAACAAAGCATCTACTGAGATCGTGACCATATACAGTCAGCTCAACAGTGAAAGTTGAACAATGAGTGGTTCTTGCACTGGAAAAGCAAAGCAGTCCCAATTGTGCAGGTTGCTACTAGTCTATCCTGCTTTTACAATTCCAATCCTCAATCATGATTGACCAATCAAAGCCAACCAACTGGAACCAACGCGCTGATGTTTTTCCTCGCCGCGTCTGCGGAGATGCTGGATGAAGTGGGGAAAAGAGAGTCCGGGAAGAAGTCACGCGAGTGTGCGTTTGGAAGCGGGGAAAGTGGCAGTCAAAGTGACGCCTGGAATCTCGATTCGGCCGTCACGGGGATTGCGCATTCGTGCACAAAGCTGCGGGCGCTTTTGCTGCACGACTGCGGGGCGCCCACCGAACTTTCGGATCACGGCTTGGACGGGCTGACGTCAGCCCCCTGCGCCCGGACCCTGACTACGCTCGATTTGTCGTTCTGCGAGGGTGTGTCAGACGCGGGTTTGCTAAATGTCGCGCGGCGCTGCCCGGGGTTGACGGAGCTGACCCTTGCATGCCTAAAAGTGACCTCAGCGCATGACGTCAGCACCGCGGGGGGTCTGACGTCAGCAGGCATTGCGCACGTGCTGGCGCAGTGCACGAAGCTGACTTCGGTAAACCTCTCTGGGAACACGCTGAGCCGGGAGTGGTTCCGGAAAATGCGGGAAGGTTTTCAAAGTCGTTGGTTCAGCTTGACCTGACCCAATGCAAGATGGAGCCAGACGTGCCGTGGAACGTGTGCCTTAGCGAGGGATCGTGGTCAGCGTTAACCCGACTTGACCTGCTGGAGTGCGCAGAACTGAACAATCGCAGTCTCAAGGCAATAGCAAGGGCCGGCGTCGCTCTCAAAGTTCTCAGAATCAGCGGGTGTGATCGCGTGACGGACAAGGGACTGCGGTCGCTCGGAAAGTTGAGAGGCGGGCAGTTGGAGGAGCTCGTGATCCAGAGAGCTGGGTTGGGAAACCTGCGCAAAAAGGCATTCCTAAAAGGTGGGCTTGTTGCTTGCTCGCTCCGTTTATCGGCTTGGTATTGTTTAACGCCTTGCCTGTTCGAAGAGAGCTTCTGTTTTGACAAGTACGTATTCCTCTCAACAAAACCGGCGGGGGGAATAAAAGCTGCCCAACCGCACCTTCCATCCAGCCCACATGGCTAATCTTCAGTAATCACAAGGCCCCAGGTTGACAACACAAGCCGTGATCAACCCACAATCACGCAACCCAGAAACACGACCGTTTCCAATGACGCAATCGAACTTTCCGAATTGCCGCCAGGAGCTTATAGCCTTTTCCAAGATCCCTCAATGTTTGCCCCAGCTTGGCTGCAAACGAATATTTGATGAGCCCTTATGCCTCGCACGAAGCAACTTGAAGTCCCTCTTGGGAATCACAACAGTCCCTTTCAACAGAACTCACTCTTCTTCACTTCCCAGGCGCTCCCTGGCCAAAACTGCACACGCTCGCCATCAGTGAGTGCGACTACGTGGGCAATGGCACCATGAATTCGATTGCGCTGCATTGCTCCGCTCTGACATCACTCGAGGCGGGCGCCGGCTTCTGCATGAGCGGAGTCGCCTTATCCGATGTGAGTCACACCTCGCACCGTCCAATTATAGAATGTCCCTGAGCCCCGTTTTCCCTCTTGTCCTTCCCTCGGTACCTGGTTTCCTAAAAGCGTATGTGGACACTTTTTGGCTCCACGAACTTTGCGTCTCCATCCTCTATTCGTCGCTCATGAATCCGGGCGTCTACCTTCTATGAGTACTTGATCGCAGTTCCATTATGAATCATTTGCCTCAAGATTTTCGTCAACGAGATCTACTGGCTTGATGCTCGTCTCCTTCCAATCGTGTGTTCATTCTCCGTGCTTTTGTTACAACCAAGCCTGTTTGCTCTGAAACGTGCCGAAAATAGCGAAGGCATGCCTCTTACGGTTATGAGCATGTCAAGCTGGCCAGGTGGAAACGCAGCGTTCATTTGATCTGCTCGCATTTCGCTTGCATTTCTGTGAAATCTTTGCGAGCCAGCAACAGGATGCAATTCTGGAAGAAGCATCAAGGAAGGAAACAACACATCGGAGATACTTTGACTTGAGGTTTTCAAGCATATGTCTGGTCAAAACCGAAGCTCCCCAACGGCACCGAAAATTTGTTCTAGTAATGTTCGCCCGTGAAGTCAAAAGAGTCCCACTTGTCGAACTGGAAACCTTCGACGAGTCACCAGCTGTAAGACCAGCCATGCCTCCGCCAGAGGGTAATCAAACCGCTCACCCTCTTTGCCCTTCCGTACAGGTGGCTGTGACGTGGTTGCGTGGGCGTTAGTTTGTCAAGGAACCCGCCTAGCTTTCATTGCGTCCTCGATATGGCAAAAGACTACCCTTGAATCCACTACTACAGGGTCCAAACTCATGGTCGCCAATAACGAATGCATCCGCGGACGCCCTCTCTGAAACGGATCTCTATCTGCAGGTCCTCGACGGATGCGAAAAGCTAGAGAAGCTGATGCTGTTTCGCAATGACTTCCTCATCAGACTCGACTCCGGGTTGCCATGCCCGACCTTGCGTCAGCTTGACATCAGCGACTGCCCCCTGCGGGCCGAGGACTTCCGGACGCTAGCCGTGCGTTGTCCGAACCTCGAGAACGTTGACGTCAGCGGAAATGAGCACCTGGACGGAGAAGGGCTGATGGCGCTAGCGCAGGGCTGCAAACGGCTAGCACTGCTGGATGTGCGAGTGAGTAGTTCCCATTGGTTTGATCGATGCAGTGAAACGCTGAGGACAATGGGCAACAAGGAGAAGGTGCTAGGATGGGACGGGTTTTGTTAAAGAGCAGGTGGACGTGCGGTGCGCATTAATTCTCCGTGTGGGTATTTCCGGAGAGAGCGAGGGCATTGTGCACGCCGGGCCTGTTGTTCACCAACTTAAGCGATTGTGAATGGCTGTGCAAAGACTGCCCCCTGCACTTGAGAACTCAAAAGTCCGGATCTCTGAAAGTAATCTTGATGTCGGCAACTTCTTCTTGTACTCGGTGTTGCTCCGCGCTTCACGTCACTTTGTCCGTCGAAGATCCTCGGCTCTGCCAGGCTTGCTTACGATGTGCTGGCCTCCCTTCGGTTTGGGGCGTTCGCAGGATCAGGTAAGGCCAAAACTGTGTCAGCAATATCCAGAAATGAGCTGCTGAGCACCTTCAAGTCCTCATAACTTTCTTGTATGGTAACGGAATCGCGCGCGGCCGCACTTTGTCGACATCTACTCGTCAAGGGCTTCAAGGTTTGGGGCGGGCATGCCCTCATGTGACGCCGCCTCGAACCTCTACCAGTCAGAATGTGCCATGTCAGCATTTTGGTCAGAATCCTGATTTGGGCGGGATTCACACTTCAAACCTTGGAAGACAAGATCTTTCAGGGCTGCAAATTGGTAGGTGGTCATGAGGAACGTAACCCAAGATGTGGACCAAATCTGGACCCCAAAATCTTATGTTGGGGGGCACCCATGCTGCTGGCTTTGTGCAATTCTGCTCACTTTTGACCCCCCAGAAGGGCGACCGCTGAAACATTGGGAAAACCTTGTAAAATAACCCAACTCAAGCACTGGGTCTCTGGTCCAGGTGCTAGGCTCGGGCACTGAGCAAAGAAACACATCATTCCATGGCCTTAGCTGGCCTTAGGCGCTGCCCTCAGGAAGGTGAAAATAGGCTGGCAAATGAGCTTGTTCTGCAGGGCCCAAGTATCCTGCCCCCACAATTTTGGTCCATGTTCAAAGGGCTGCAGTGCCCTAGGCCTTTTTGTTACCTTTCAGATGCAAAAAACGGGGTTTTTTTTGCTTAGGTCTGCTATTTTTTATGTGGGCTGCCCTGGGGGGAGGTTTGGCGCCGTGGCAGGGCAGCCATTCTTCGGTTCTCTTACTGGCCTGTGTTAGAGCTTTTTGAGCTGGCAGCCTGCAGCAATGGCCAATCAAAAAACCCGGCTGAATAAGAGACACAGGAAACAGCATGTTCCTGGCCAAGGCACTCGTGTAAATATGCCTGCAGCGGTGGCAGCGGAGGCGCAGGCAGAGACCCAGGCGGCTGCGAGAGCTGACCACAGAAGATCAATGAACAGGGTGTATCAGCAAGAGAGCAGGAAGCGGAAAGCTGAAGAGCTCGAGATTGGACAACCAGACGAGTCAGCGGAACCCCTGTGCGAGCGGCGCAAGCGTGCAATCGTGCGCAAGAATGCATTGGCGGTGGCGCAGAGTCTGAGGGGCAGAACAAACGAAGACCAGGCAGAGATCTTGAATGGCACATTTGGCCATGCCGTGCTAGAGTCCGCAAGGGGGATGGCAGGGATGCCATCAAAGAAGAAGATGGCGGTCAGGACGCTGGTGTTTGAGCAGACTGCGCGCGCGCTGCAGAGCCTTACAAGTCGAGGCACGCATAGCGCAGACGAGACAGCTGCCAGGCATGCAATCCTAGCTGCCAGCACTGGCAGCCCTGTGACGAGGCAAAGGCTGCAGCGGGCCTATAGCAAGGTGCTGCGACAGCCACGTACTAAGGTTGCCACGGCCATCAGTCGGCGTGGGCAGCTGGATCGAGGGGGGGGCTTCTGGGCGCTGACGAAGAGAGCGCGCAGGAAGGATGGAATCAGTGAGGCAATTAAGGAGCTCGTCATAGCGTACTGGGCAAGAAAAACTCGGGTGTCCCCCAACCGGAAGGACGTGGTGCGGCACCGTACCGCTCCAAATCGATATGATACGCATCCAGCGCATCTGCTGGAGATATCCCAGGTAAGTTCTGATTGTTATGCTCAGTTGATGGTGATTCTGTTGAAAGACTGCTGCCCCAAGGAGGAGGTTCAGGTCTGGTTCTTCTGCGAATTGGCGTTTGTATCTCCATTGTGGACAGCCTTGGCAATCAGGAATTTGGTTGGCTGCTCATGGTGGGTGCTTATGACTGCGGTTCATGTGTTTGTTGCAAACTGCATGTCTAAGGATTCTTTTGCTTGTTGCATCTGGTGCTGGGGCCTACTTTGCGTCACACGCGATGTTAAGTACAGTTCCGCAACTTGTGTGCTCTTTGCAGGCGGAGCTGTACCAGAAGTTCCAGGAGGATCACCCGGAGGTGAAGATTGGTGAGAGGAGCTTTGAAGTCCTCAAACCCTGGTAAGTATTTTGTCTTCTACATTTGCCATTTCTTCGGTTCTCCTCGTTTTGTTCAATGTCTTTCCTGGGGTTAAGCCAGACTCCTCTCTATGAGGTCTTGAGAGCAACACAGCAAAGCAGGTATGAGGACATTTCTCTGAAGGGTTTAGTGATGACCTTTTAGAGTCTGTGTATCGCAGTGCCTAGCAAGGTTCTTTGAGTCAATCAGGAGTTTTCAAAAGCTTGGCAGAGGTGTTTCTTGCGCAGAAGATTCAACTCTATGGTTTTCCTGAATTCTGCTGGAGCTCTCATTCTGTTCTTGCTCTTGTACTGACCTCTCGTTTGTAACCTTCCAGGTTCGTGCGGAAGCTCAAAGACCGCAACGTGTGCTGCTGCAAGTACGACGTTGAGATGCGCTACCTGCTCGACGCGCTGCGGCGCGTGCGCATGACCAGGCACGAACAATGCAAGTGCGGGTGCAATCTCTGCCGCCCTTCTCCAGCGGACATGTCCTGCCAGATCCACAAGAAGGTAAATCTCCAAATTATTCATCTTTAATGAATGCAAACATCATAGGGCAATGAAAAGGGGGCAGGTATTTGGCACTGGATTGATCTTTCCTCTAGGGGGCTTTTGAAAGATGAGCATAACCCTGACGCAACTCTATCATCTATTGGGCAGGGCTTTGAATTCAACTTTGTTCAAAGCTCTGGTTTTCTATTCTGTGGGGGCGCAAGGACGTAAAGTGGCATTTGATTTCCTTGTGTTGTTCCCTAGTGGGAGGGGGGTGGGGTAGAGAACCTTGCTCGCGGTCGACCCTGTTTCAAGAAGGGGGGCAAAATGTTTGCAAATTGTGGCCCTCCTTTTGTGTTTGGGGAGGCTTCCAGATATGAGTGTGCAATCGAGCTTAATCATTTTCCGCCGGGGGGGGGGGGGGGCAGATTGACATGTGCGGATCTGATGCTCCGCTCTTTCTGCGTTTTGGGGCCCCCATCAAAATCACGGCGCGGTCGACAACTTTTATTTCTGTCTGGTGGGGGGGGCTGCAGTGCGCGTCTGACGCTCCGCCCATTTCTGAGAAGTCCTTTCACTTCAAACCAGCGGCAGCCGACGTTCTTTTTAATTTTCTGGGGGGGCGCAGAGCGCGACCAGCGCTCCCCTCTTTTTTTGTGTCTTGGTGTGCTGTTAGGAATCAGCGTCCAGTCATGCGGTTCTCCTTTTTCTGTGGGGGTAGGGGGCAGAATGTCTGCACATGTTGAGTGATTCCTAAATTTAGTTACTTGTTGTACAGGACTACAACTCTGTAAGCGCCTTCTGCGAGGAGCTGATGTGCCCCAAGCCGGAGGGCTCCGACAAGCACAAGCCGGAGTGCATCTCCGGCAAATGCGGCCTTTGCGGCTTCGAGCGCAAGTTTGCGACGTGCCCGGTGGAGCTGGACGCGTCAGCCCCACTTGTGAAGTACAAAAGTTTTCAGTACGTCGTTGTCCTTGACAAAAATGGGCAGCCGATCAAGGATAGGGATGGTAGAGACAAGAAGCGAATCAAGGAGGTTATGGTTGAGAGCTCTCCTAGTGAGCTCTTTTCCGCTTTAGGTGCCAAGGTCCCCCCTTTCCTCCAGCACACCTTCCGCGTCAAGTGGCAGGACAAGCAATTTCGCGAGCTCCTAGACACTTTTCCTGTTGGCACAGTAGTCTCGGTCATCGACTTCGCCGAGAATTACTCATTCGAACAGCAAGACGAGATCCAATCGATGCACTGGCACAGCGATCAGATTACCATCCTTGTACATATTACATACAGGCACAAGCAATTAGAAATAGACGGCGTAGAAAGCACCGCAGAAAACCGTCAAATCGCTCGCGAAACCGTTTTCTACATCAGCGACGACAAGCAGCACGACACGCACTTTGTGCAGCACTGCCTTGTAAAGAAGCACGCAGCAGAAATGAAGGAGAGGGGGATCAAAGTCGAGGAGCACCGGGTCTTCTCCGACGGGGCTGCCTCGCAGTTCAAATCTAGGAGGGCGTTCTACTTCGTGGCGCGGTACCCCGGGCTCACCGCTGTTAAGATGGAGGTGAGTTCAGCCCTTCCGAGGTTGCTCCTCCTTTCAAAGCTAGAGGTCGTTTTGAAGGCACTGCTCTGGAGTATTGTTCTGACCGTATAGAGCTCAAACAATTAGCACTTCAAGCGATTAGACTGTGAAACTAACAAACGATTGACAGTATTCTGCACATCCGAGACAACAGTCCGGCAGAGTATGTGATCGCTCAAGGAAGTTTGCTTTTCAAAGGACCTTTCCTGCCAGGACCGTTCCGTTTCGCTCCGTATTTTGCAGCAAATTCGACCGAACGGCTTTGGCCCTTTCAATGACGGCCTGTTGACCACGGTATGCAGTCCTGTCATGGGCTGACGTGTTGTCACTGAAAAGTTAGACGTAACCCGACTGATCGACTGATTGCTGTCTCCTGCAGTGGTACTTCTTTGAATCCGGTCATGGGAAGGGCGAGCATGACGGGGCCGGGGCTGTCGTCAAGTCCGCGTTGCGGAAGTGGCAGCTTGTTAGGGACGGGGAGTCCCAAATGACGTCAGCGGCTGAAGCAGTGCGGCTGCTGACTGAGCGGCTCTCCAGCGCGGCGCCAACAAGCTTCGCTAGTCGGGCGGCCCTGCGAGAGGGGGTTAGTCGGAAGTTCGTTTTCATTGGTGAGGACGAGGTCGACCGATCAGTTCCCTACGAATGCAAACAGATTCCGGGCACTCGGTCTTTCCATGCGGTGCGGGGAGCTGGAGGCCGGAACGCGACGACTCTCTTCCACCGCCAGCTTGCTTGCTTTTGCGGGCCTTGCTTCGAGGGAAAGTTCGAAGATTGCGAATCGACCGCTTATGCCGGGGATTGGGTGCAAGTCGAATTGCAGCCGTCCCAACTCCCGCTTCCCGACGACCTCGACGACGACGACGACGACGCTCCCCGATTTGGGGGGGACGATCACAACGAGCTGCCAAACCTCCTTGAGCCCGGCGACTTCTTCGCAATGGCGGCGGAGTCGGAAAACGAGCCCTACTTTCTAGGACAGTGCACGCGAGGTATGCATAGGTTAACCGCACCCGAGCAGGATACTTGGTCTGATCACGTGTATGCGGCAGGCGATATGGTAGTTAGGTGTAAATACTTACAGATACCCCCTAGGACGAAAGTCCGGGGAGTGAGGAAGTACGAATGGGCGCGGCCCGATGAGGCAATTATTTATTCGCACATAGTCAAAGCGATTAAGCTCGATGTAAATCCGGAAGATCAAACAGAGCGCACTAGGCGGCAGAGGAAAGGAGGTCAAATCTTTTATAACTTGTCACTAGAGGATCACGAGAAGATATTGGAAATGTTGGAGGACTAATCGATACTAGAAACAACAATTTGCAACTTGAGATTGATGAGTGTTTTGAAGAACATGCTCAGTCGCTGGCAGAATTGGAGATTTTCAAGTGCAACATACATGACTACCGTATGTATCGTATGGGGTCTCTCATATTCAATTCTATGCATCGAAAGCACATGTCTTTAGTATGTCACATAGTCGGGGCTAAACTGGTTGTTAATGCGAATTTGTAGGTAGTCCACCGACTTCATAGCAACATGATAGCAAAAGCTAGTAGGCCGGTGCACGGAAACGAACATTGGTCGATTGAATGGTAGCACTTATATTCATGGTCGATTGGTAGCTTCTCTTCCCCCTAATATGTTCAAGAAGAGGGTTATCGAGGTCCGAAGGCGGTACTTTAGTCAATAGTAGCCCCGCAAATGTTAACCTAGCCACCAAACCACTTAAGTAGCATCAGAACAGCTTAAACCGACCTTCAAAAATGCATAACCGGGCTCGCATAGCCTCTAACTTAGCCTAACTACCACTTAACATGGCAGCTAACCAGCTGGTAAAGTAGCGCGCGACTGCGCGACTTCGCGCGGACCGCGAGTCCGCGCAGTTTCGCGAACTTTTAATTTGAATTTTATCGATGAATTATGACCGAAAACCGCGATAGAATTCAATTTACGGCGCCGTTTTTCGAGCGAAAAAGTGCCGAGTTTGGCCCGACCTGACCTTGCGACCGCCCTTTGGGGCTCTTGTGTCCCTGGATGTCGAGCGCTGTAAGATACGGCTCCGCAACAGGGTCCATACATAACGAGGTCCAGACCAACCTGGATTCCCTGTGTAATACGTCTTTTTTCAGAGACCTCGTATGGGTGCTTTTGTTGCTCGAGACAGGGTGTACGCGAGCTGATAAAACTGCCTTGTGATGCGCACCTAGATGTGGTAAAAACATGATGTCAGGCCCTACGGTCAGCCTTGATAAATTCAGCCGTTAAGCTTCCTCTTACTTTTGATGGGTGGACCGGTCCAACCTTCTTCTTCTAATCGGCCATGCCTTTCTTTGCAGGACTGTACCAATTTTGCGCATGCGTCAATCGGCATGGCAGTTCAAGCGTCGACCTCCTTGAGAAGAGTCTTCGTTACCCGCACAGATTGCAGCCAAAATGTGGAAAGCTCAGGTTTCAATCGGCTCTGCAAATTCGTGTACTCTATTCCGGAGTATAGGCGATGAGTGATCAGGACTGTCGCAAGATTGGAAGTCAATTGAGATCTCATTCCTCGTGGTTATTGACAACGGTGACAAACGGATAAGCTGACCGAAAATATGACGAGCACAGGGGCTCGAATCTCCTTTTTACTAAGCGAACTTCCTACAATTTGATCGCATGGCCGTACATTAATTAGCGCTTGCGATCAGATTTTGACGTTGCTGTCAAAACAAACCTGGCATGTATCCCAAAATTTAAGCGGACATGCACTTGCACCGTAGGTCGGAAGTTTCAAGGCCGGGCCCGCTCAAATGGTGGCCACATAGGCAGGCTGCATCCGATATCAGGTCCCCAATGGTAGCCACGCATTGTAACCTTGCTTTGGGGTGACAATATGCAGTCCTTGCTAGCTCAGCCTGCCTGACGGTGGTCCCCTGCTTGGAACTGCCACTGGTGCATGCTCGGGCGGCCCTGCGAGATGATCCGACCCTGGTCACAATGTGTCGGACTCAATGAGCTTGGAGTCATTCGAGCTAGGCTTCGGCCTTGATTCGGGCCGGCCCGGCGGCCGGGCAGATTGTGGAGCGTGCGAGGGTTTATCAAGGTGACGTCAAATGTTGTCTCGGACTGCATCCGACATGATGTTAACACGGTAAGCGGAGCGCCGCGTTCCAAGATTTCACAGTGGCGAACCGCGGCAGTAAATGTACCTCTTCGATGATTCGTCAGAAAAGTGGCCCCTAGAAGATATTTTCCACGTGTCACTGCAGGATACGGGTATAGCCTGTGCACATGAACCCCGTGCAGTCCCAATGATTGATCGTTGGGTGCACCAATTACAACACAGCGTGACGCTGCTCCCTGCACAGCAGTGACTCGCTCACACCACTCTACCTATGTACCGTATGAGTGAACCTTCTTGGCGTCGCTTCCAAAGTTGTGAGCTGGTAGAAACTTACGGTACCTAGCTCACAAGCAATTTGCTACCTAGGTTGGAACTTGGCCACAACGTTTTTTCTGGCTCGGAGTCATTGCAAAATCCTGCAGGTCTCTTTAAGCTTGATGTCCTTGGCTGCTTCTTGGCGGCCCCGAAACATACTTGAAGCTGAAAGTTTGTGAAGGAGATTGGCCACGAATTAGACGCATTCACAGCTCAGAGCACAAAACTCCCAGCTCCTTTCGCTGCTCTCAAAGCGGTTGCATTGGCTTTCCCAAAATGGCGTGCAAGACCCGCCTTTCAGCGGCGCTAGCAATCACCTTGTTGCTGGCGGCCGCCAGCTGGCAGACGACGTCAGCCCAGGCCATTGTGAGTGACGTGTGCGCCACTCCCTCCACGACAGTTCTCAAGGCCAACGCGTCGACTGTCACCCGCGGGGTGTTCAGTCCCACCATCGCGCCTGTTGCCCACATCCAGGTAAGTGACCCTTTGTCAGATTCCAGCATACTGAATGTTGTTTTATTCCTGACATGTTGTTGGCTTTTATTCTTCAATGTGTGATGGAATCTTCAGCTCAACCTGTGGGACCATAAAGCCCGCCATGAGGCCTGTCGTGCTCACCCCGCTGAGATTCTGCATTCCACATTTCATGGTTTTCAGCTCCTCGACCAAACAGATTTGTGCTTGAATCCTTCAGATCCTTACATGTTTGAATGAGGTTAGGAGCCTCTTTGATAAGATAGGTAAGAGCAGGGGGAAAAGATCTTCTATGACTAACGAGTTGCTTGAGAAGCACAGCCCAGCCTCTCTTCTGATGGGGCCTGTCAAGCTTCGGCTTATGGCATTACTATTGCGTCAGCGAGTAAACGTTTCAAACACAGGCATTCCAACGAGGAGAAGTTCTGAAGTTCCAATTCTGAAGTTTTGAAGTTGCTCGCACTTTCACCAGTTGAATCTATCACCCGGTTTGGGGAGCTCAGAGATCTTAAATCAGGGGCCGCTTGTGTTTTACCTTGCCGTGATACGAGCTTTGTGACGGCTCAACAATGTGGTCCTTCTTCAATGCTATTTCCGGTTGTGGGCCTTTCCCCCATGGGAACAACTTCACAGAGGCAATCAACTACCTGTGGTGCAATGCCCCTTCTAGCTTACATGTTTGGACTCTGCTCAACTGCGCATTGGTTACTGTTATTCTGATTCTGCTGACCACAAAGGTAGAATGGTTTGACAGCTTCTAAAAGGCTTCGGCAATACCAGAGCTTAGCAAACTTCTTAGCTACACATTGTCTCTAGAGCTCTGTCCTTCAATGAATCCTTCATCTCATGCGCAGAGTCAAGTTCTTAAAGTGTTCGAAAAAGCTCTCAGCTGAGGCCAAGCACCGAGGCAATCATTCATACTGCATCCAATCTGTGTATGTGCCATAGAAGGGTCCAAACTTGTTTTAAGGTAGCCACACATTTTGCTATCGGTTTGCAGAAAGTCGGAGAAATTTCCAATGCCTGTAAACGTGTCCCCATACGTGACTGTTGTTCAGATATCTGGGCTGAGCCGATCTGCTCTTGACACGTGTGCAGAGTGGCGAGATCATCATCGGCGAGTGCGTCACCCAGCGTGGGAGCAACGACTATGCCAAGCTGATCAAGTGAGCTGACACCTTCTTGTGCAAAAGTGACCCAAGAATTTGAGATAGATACAGTCCTGATAGCATCCTGCCATTTTGCTTGGACTCTTGCTGAAGCTATTTAGGAACAGAATTGGTTGGAAGCACCTTTGAATTCGTTGTGCCAAAGCTTGGACTATTATCCTGAAAAAGAAAAGAAAAAGGAAAAAGAAAAGATTTCAGAAACTGAGTTGTATCTAGGACCTTGTCATCCTTTCTTTGTGCTTCCTTTGTCGTCCTGTCAGCATGATGTAGCCATCTCTATCCTAATTTACAACCAGACAACCAAGTAAAAAACTTTTAAGTGCGATCTTTTCAATTGGAAGATATAGGATGGGCGATTTAACACGACTCTGTCAGCATCTCGGGCTTTCAGGGACAAGAACAAAAAAGAGCATTTAGTAAGTGAAAGACATCAGCACGTCATCACCATCGTTTATCTTTAGGAGCTGACTGACTCTTGTTCCTTTGCTCAATTTTGCAGGGGCGATCCCGGCGTTGAGGACATTTTCTTCCAGGCTACCGGCTCCAACCGGTCCAACAGCTACAATGTCCAGGCCGGGAACGGGGGGCACATCCTGACTGGGCCCATCCAGGTGAGAGGACCCCCCCAAATGTCAAATTCTCATGTACCAGCAACTTCGGTCTAGGTAATGGCTCACAAGTGAGCCAATCTAAATGATTTATCAAGGGCTGCTCAGCGGTGTTGTGTGCAATGCGCTTTTGTTTGCATCTTTTGTCTTGATGGGTCTCTTTCCAGTGTCAGTGTCGGTGCGTGGGAGCCAAACTAGTTATGGTGCAAGATGTTAGAGGCGACTTCGCATGAACGGTCAAAGCTCTGACCTGCCAACTGAAGCTGTGGGTTTCGACTGTAAAAGCTTGACACCTCAGCTGTCATCGCCACGTGCACATCTTCCATTTTCACTCTTACCATTTTCAGGTCCTGAGAAACCCGGCCCTTTCCTGCCTGTTCAATGAGAAAACCTTCGAAAAGCTGGAAAGATCAAATCAGGTTGGGCTCGTAGCTTGGTAGCACTCGGACAGCTTCGCCCAGCGCACATTTGGTGCCAAAGGACCTGCAAAAAGTCAACCAGTTCATATGCGTCACGTGTGCAGGTTTGCGGTGCCAAGGCGGGAGACGTCCTTAAGGTGAGACCCTCCTCTCTATGCTGACGCTCGACTTCCCTTTGAGATGCTGAAAAATTGAGCCCACCTATAGCTGTCAAGCAAATCCCAGCGCTTTCAATGTGGTGCCGTCATCTCTGTGCGAATGATTTAATGACGAACGGCAATATACGCTTTGAAGTGAGCCGGATCAACTGTATCATAGACGTCTTTTTCTGAGACACAATATCATAGACGTTTTTTTCTGAGACACAAAGTCACCAGAAAAACGACCCGTTAGATTTGAAAACGTCAAACTGCACACCATAGAGCTACTTTTGCGTCGATTTGGCGTCGCAATAAAGCAAAGCAAGGAGTCGAAAATGTAGTCTTCCCAAGCACAAAACTCACTTTCCCAAGTATACCATCTGCATACTGACGCACATGTTCGATGTTGACATTCCAGGTGGAGATCCTGGCGCTCGATCCCCGCAAGAACCCCTCCACGGGCAAGTGCTACGGCGCCAACACGCAGGGAACCTCGGGTTATCCCGCTCAGGTAACCACATTCCCTAACCCTGAAAGAAACTAAAAGCTCACTGAAACCCCTGTTTATGGAACCCGTTCTAGCCTAGACCTGCCTGAAAAGCGGACGTTTTGTAAGTCCAAGCCGGAAGTTTTAGAAAAGAGACCTCACAATCTACCGAAATCCACGCCTTGCATCTAAGAACTGATAGACTTCTCCTGGAAGGGAGGCCGTCGTCTACATGGTGAAACAGCGAGTCGGTCTACTGTGCCAATCTCTATGCTAGTTAAAAAAGCGAATCTTTGTAAACACCAAGGAAGCTGGTTGCAAGGACTTTAAATTTCTATATCCATGTTTGAACTCAAAAAGGAGTGCAGCGGCCGGTACGTCTGTATTTTGGCTATTGCTGCGGGGTATCTAGAATTCTGTTCTGAAAGGATGGGTGGAACCCCTTTTCAGCGAACCGGACGAAGACTGGTTTCGAACGCCGAATAGCCAGATACGCTTGACTTGCTTTCTTCATTTCGTTTTACGTCACCTTCGTTCAAAGGTGCCGTTTTTTCGAAACAATAAGGCACGTAGTCGCCGCAAGGTTGAAGCAAACGTTGATGAGTGATCCACTAAGCAGGGCCCGCACTTTAGGTTCACTTTCCTCTCGTTGTACACTTAAGAGTGCCTGGCTGTATGGGCTTCTCGGAAGGCTCTTTTCCGCAATCGCCCGCAAGAATACGCGATCGCCCAAACGAATACGAGATCGCCCAAAAGCATACGCAATCGCCTAAATGAACATATGCAATCGCCCAGAAGAACATACGCACTCGCCCAAAAACACAAAGGCAAACGCCCATAAGACTACAAGACTAAAACTTCCCTTTTGCATTACGCAGGTGACCAACACGTCCGGCGTCAATTTCACCGACTCCGCCATCATCATCTATGACGTCATCGCCGATGAGACCGGCCAGTGGGGCTATCCAGTGTACCAGTTCATGGTGCCCAGCACGGTGCGTTTCCTGAAAACCGGGAGCTCTTGGGATTCGAGTGCGCCACAACTAATAAAATAGTCTCTGTGTTCTTGCCCGGTGTTCCTTGAAACGCAGAGGACCTGTGAAAAACTTTTTCCAAATCGAGAATCCATTCAGATCTTAAGTCTCGGATGTTGAGCGCCGGACAGGTTTTACCATCTAACTTTGAAGGGTTCTGAAGAGTGTTCGCCGCCTTTCTCATGTGTCAAGACTCAAGGCAAGGACCTTATTCAAAATCAGATCTTGACGTCAAGAAAAAGACACCAACCACTCGAAAGGATACGTAACAGCTAAGGACGTGCCTTTGACCTTCAATACTCCCCGTGAACTGCGGCGCGCCCAGAGCGAACGGGGCCTTCGACCCGGTAATAAATCCTCGCTACCCACCCTCTAACAACGTTCTCCTCTGCTTCTAACCAGGTGATCGGCCCGGATGGCAAGACCGGCGGCCAGATATATTCCCACCCGGTTGATCACGGAGTGCCCGGAACCGGCGCCTTTGACCCGGTGACAAACCCTTGGTAACCACTCTCTTAATGACGTTCTTCGTTACTTCTAACCAGGTAATTGGCCCCGATGGCAAGACCGGCGGCCAGGTTTACCCGCACCCGGTTAACTACGGAGTGCCCGGCGCGAACGGCGCCTTTGACCCGGTGAATACCCCGAGGGCTACAAGTCGAGCCTCCCCAACGGCACGGCGATGCAGTATCTCAACACACCCATGAACTTCCGCATCCCGCTGCGGCCGCATCTGGGCACCATGGGTGGGTTTGGTTTCGGTTTCGGTTTCGGTTTCATTTTGAAATTGGGCTCGATTTTGAGTTTGTGTTTGCTTTGGAGTTGGTTGGGTTCGGTTCAAGCCTTCTAAACGGCGCCGCAATGCAGTAATCAGCACGCCCAGGAACTTCCGCATCTCGGCACCATGGGTGGGTTTGGGTTTGAATCTGGTTTGGGCTCGAGCTTGAATTTGTATTCTGATTTGGATTTAGTTTGTTTAGGCGAAGCCTCCTCAACGGCTCCGCCATGGGATGTCTCAACACGCCAGTAAAGGTTTCGCATCCCGCTGCAGTCGCATCTGGGCTTCCTGAAACGTGAACTTATCTAGACGATTGTACAGAAAGATATGATAGACGGGCGCCGATAATAGTGGACACCTGCTCACATTCGATTCTCGAAGCTCATGGGTCCGGAACAACTGAAACTTGGAAGCGAAGTCACGCACGGAAAGCCAGAAGTGTTGTGTCAACAATCCGTGTTAGAGCCGAGTTCTTGGTTTTGAGTCTTTGCCGCAGGTTTCGCCCGCCAACTGTGATCGACGATGAACGTTGCAAATCGAAATCCTGCGAAACATGCATTTGACGCAGGGCCATACATTCTTCCCCTTGTTATCACGCATGTCTCGCGCCCGCGAACGTGCTCGACTGCGACAGAAACTCCACGTCCCCCACCATCGGTACGTTGAGCCATTTTTTCAACCACTTCAGGTGCCTAAAACCCTAGAAATCCGAGCTTCTGAGCCCTAAAACCCTCGCAATCTTTGCACAGGTCTCGCGCCCGCGAACGCGCTCGACTACGGCAAGAACTCCACGTCGCCCGTCATCGGCGCGTTGAGCTTTAAAACTTCTGAGCTCGAGATTTTTAATATGTGTTTGACCTAACCCTCTAACCCTTGCCACCAAACCCTCAAACCCTCGCAATCTTTGCACAGGTCTCGCGCCCGCGAACGCGCTCGACTACGGCAAGAACTCCACGTCCCCCATCATCGGCGCGTCGAGCGGCCCCCCCAGCAACTTCGGCGGCAACATCGACAACTGGAGGATCGGCGCCGGTGTCACCATCTACTACAAGGTGCAAGTCGACGGAGGGCTGCTGTCATTCGGCGATTGCCACGCCGGTAGGTGACAAAGTTCAACCGGTTCTTCTCTGAGAGTTGATTAAACTGGGCGTTTTCAAGTTGGTGCACTGATGCTTGTTTATACGTTCAGGTTCAGATAGACGCTGACCTTCGGTGGGGCCACGCAGGTGGGGATGCTGATTCTAGGTTTGAGATTTCGCGGTGTTCCTGTAGTGAGGTTGTATTTTGAGTTGGCGCCGAGGTTACGAACCTTTGTGAGGGGCGGATGAACACAGCGCTGTTGCTCCTTCGGCGATTACCATGCAGGTAGGTGATTAGTTGTAACTCGTCATTGTTTGTATCGCTCGAGATCTGTCTCTGCTTGTCAGGTACGTTTTTCAAAATCGTGCGGTCTGACCATGAAGAAACTTTCTCGGTTCGAAGACATCCGCCTTGTCGGCACGCAGCGAAGTGCTGATCTCAAACTTCACATCGTTCTCTCCGTCTTCCTTGAGGTTGTCAATAATCCTTTGACCAACGAAGCGTTTTTCGAGCTCTTTGCGTCTTGCACCTCTTCGTATGTTCAGGCACCTTCCTGGATCAACAATTATTCTTATCTTTGCTTCGACGAAAACGTTTGCACAGCAGAAGCGACTCAGCCCCCTAAAGGCATTTCTCAGGAAGGCGTTCCGCGTCCTAGGTTATATTCTCAACGTACCCCACTCTATTAAGCTCTCGACGTGAGTCTGAAGTGCGTAACCCAAATTCAAATTCTACCCAGCTGAGGGCGAATCGAGCTTCCGGCAAGCGTTAAAAAACGTCAATCTTTTTCGTCTCAAAATCGTAACCCAAAAATATACCCCTTTCAGCTGAGGGCGACTCCGAGCTTTCCGGCAACGCCATCGAGGCGAACCCTGACCATTCCCTTTCGCAAATCAAGTCAAGAACTTACAGAAAACAGAATTATTGAGAACCCACTGAACTCAGTTAGAGGAGCTTGATAGTTCCTAACCCAAAACTGAACCCTGCGCAGCCGAGGGCGACTCCGAGCTTTCCGGCAACGCCATCGAGGCGTCCCTGACCGGAACTTTCCGCATCACCACCCTTCCGGAGGCGACTCTGCCTGCCGCCCTCAAAAACATGAAGGCGCCCGTTATGGAAACCAAGGACTACATTCTGGTGCACGGGTTCGCCTACAACGACTACATCTCGGAGCTGACCAAGCCCAGGTAAACCACTTTCTAACCCTTTGGGTTTAAATTAGTTCGTTGACCGATTCTGCTTCACTCTGACCGGGAATGAGGGCGCCCTTGACGGAGACCAGGGACTACATTCTGGTGCACGGATTCGCCTACAACGACTACATCTCGGAGCTGACCAAGCCCAGGTACAACGTGTTCCGTATGCTTTAGAATCGGTTCTCAAACAGAATTTGTTTTCTGTTAACGAGAATTGAAGGCGCCCGTCATGGAGATCAAGGAAAACAATCTCAATCACGAGTTTGCGTACAACGACCACATCTTAGAGCAGACCAAGCCCAAGCAATCCATCCGTTACCATTTTTGGGTTCAACCGGGTAACTCTTTTGGATTTGGATCAGTATGTTGAGCTTCTTGGTTATCGTGACGGGTTTTTGGGGGCGCCCGTTCTCGAGACCTAGTTCTACATTCTGGTGCACGGATTCGCGTACAATGAATTCATCTCAGAGCTGTCCAACCCCAGGTAATGTGCCCTTGAGAATCGCTTTATCAAGCAGGTTTGCGATATGATGCGGTTTGAAGGCGCTCATTCCGTGCAGTCAAAAGAACAGTCTTTCGACGGCTTCGCGTAATCCGACTACAGCGGTGAGCTGACTAGCTCTAGATGAGAAGCTCAGAGCTTCTTTGAGGACGAGATCGTTGCCCGATTGAGATATTTCTGTCAGAGCACTGACACATTGCTGGCAGATCTGATTAGTACGGTTGATTTTCAAGCGACTCTGGAGACAGTAATTCGTCAGCCGTCCACCAGCGGTAGGGACTTGTGAGACCGAGAAGGCGGTCAACCTCCAATCAACAGGCGCGCGGCTTCAGCCGCAGAATCTGTTTGGAGAACGGTTTCCCTGCTTCGTACAGAAGTCCTTCTGAAACCTTCTGAAACCTTCTGAAACCGTCTGTCCTGGACTTGTGCAGTGACATCGGCAAGCCCCAGTTCGGTGCCGATCTGAACAAGGCCTTCGCCAACACTTACTTCAACACCAGGCAGTTCCTCATCGACGGCTTCGGTCTCACCGAAAGGGAGTCCATCAGCGTCATGAGCACCAGCGTCGACTTTGGTGTGACCCAGGTGCGGTCTCTTTCCCTTACCAACTTGCACGAATTGGATTTCGCAAGGATTTGAAATGCTTGCTTCAATCAACGGGGTGTTTCGAAAGATGAGCACGCTGGAGTCTTTTGGAAGTCCGTAAGGGAGCATTACAGAGCAGATCGAAAGTGGACCGTGTCGAAAGAGCTCCTGGTGCAAGGAAAGGTCAGCACGTTGAGGGGCAGAGCATGCCCTCAACGAGCGTGCGAACGGTCGCTTGGAGGAATCTGAGGTGGTCTGTGCTGATTTACGATGATCTCAGCCGTTCGAAACGTCAGGTAGGAGTCAGGACGTCAGCATGACGGGCTGCTGCCTAAGTTACGGCTTGAAGTTTTCTTCAGGAGCGCAGAAATACCGCTGATTACCAAGTTTGCCTTCCCTTGTACGCTCAGATTTGAATACGGCCTTACTTAATTTATCCCCGGTTCCCTTTCCCCGGGCAGGTCGTCGACTCCAACTGGGGCGCCCACGGCATCATCTACAAGTCGGTCTTCTCCAAGAAGACCAGCCCCGCCGGGGGGATCCCCCTCATGTCCAGCAAGCGCAAGCTGCTCGAGTCCGCGGCCGCGGCCGCGGGCGAGGAGGCGTACCCCGACATGATCCAGATGATGGAGGAGGCGCTCGCCCAGCGCGCCGCCGACGCGCGCGAGCTGTAGGCGCGCACACGCGCGCTGGAGCGCGGAGCCGCGCGCAAGAAAGCCGCGGGGGCGCGTCCTGTGGTTTGGGAAGGGCAAGTGCAAAATGGGCCGTGCGAGTTGTCGGAAGGAAGAAGAAAAGGCCGTTACATGTAGCGAACTTAGAAGCATGAGGATTAGCATTAGTAGGCAGTGCACGTGTGAGCTTCGGCAAAGCCGGGAAAAAACGCTGATATCCACCTATGGCCTTTGTCGGTACATATTTGTCGCGTCTGTCAAAACGTCTAGTCTTAGGTAGCGGTCGAGTTGGTTTACGTGTCTGGATTTTACCGCAAAAGCTTTGGCGAGACGCAGTTTATGACTTATCCTTTGAAGACACGTGCAAGTCGTCTTTGCTAGGCTCTTTTGCATGTCGCCATTTTGAAAACCCTGTATGAACACTAAGCTAAGTACGACATGGTGTCCAGAACTAGCTTCGAAAGTGCAACCAAAATGCGCCGTTTCCCTTCCATCTCATCGACTGTTTATCTAATGCTTATCTGGCCTCGTGAGTCGCTCTTCAAGAAGATTACCACCTCCGAGCAAGTTCCGCGACGGCGCGGTAGAAATTTGGTACCAGTTCCGGTTCTGGCTTTGATTCTGATGCGCTAACGGATACGTAGTTCCACAACGGGATCGTCGCAAGATCATCACAATCGCTTGTGTGAAATTGAATTACGTGCCGTACTGAGCTCTGGCAATTTAGCTTGATATGAAGAACTTCCAAGTCATTGTGATAACTTGCATGAATGACCATGCCTAAATGAATCCAGCGCCAGGTCGGAATTGCTCAAGGCCAGTGCGAACCTATCCGCAAGACCAGGACCGTCATGACGGTACTGCGCTGAAGTATGCTCAAACAACGTAAACGAACAGTCAATCGGCCGGACGAATATGCCTGGCGATGCGAATGCTGACACTCGTGTACTCACATAGCGTTCTTAAAATATAGCTTCATCAGTGCAATGATGCAACCCCGCCCCTAACTCAGCCCGGTTGCTGAATGGCCTTGAACACCCAATCATGATGAGGTTCAATATGCTGATGCCCCCGTCTACAGTACACGGGTTGCACGATTGTCCGGTCACACGCTGATTATGACGCACGCGCTACTTGCAAATAGGGCACGATCCTTACCAGAGACGTTCAATCCCTAGCTCGTTTGCATGTCATGCTAGGTTGAGTCGCAGCCGGGTTGTCTCCGATCTAGTTGCAATTCCGAAATTTGATAACTTATGCAGTGACCCATACCTTATGACTGTATTCGGACACTAGGGACCTAGGGAAAGAATGAAGCCTAAGCTTCATTCTTTCTTCTGTTCAATCCAAGGCTGTAGCAGAGGTAATGGTGTAAGGAACTCTGGACAGCTGCACGATGGCCTGAGGAAAGTCTCATGTGAAGTACAAGGGAATGTATGGGTAGCGTTGTGCACATTCAGCCATGTTCATGGTCCTTCTGTGATGCGAGGATGCGGCGCAAGTAATTCACATAGTGCAATGACTTGTAATAAGCTGTGTTTAGGTTGTCGAGATGTTTGGATGAGAGCTAGAGTGAGGCGACATGCATGCTGTCGGAACCAAAAAGGATCTTCGACGAATTGACATAGCAGGCGGGCGCCAATTTTGCAGTAATGTGATCATTGCGGCTGCCTTCGGACGTTTGCACGGGCCACCCAATCCCGACTTTCCCTGATCCCGTAGGACGTAGATCGTTGCTATTTTGTCCGTCGATCGATCACCCGCTCAGGGTCTATACACACAGAGCGGGTGTTCTTTTTGGCAAATCGCCGAAAACTCAAGGTGCTGTTTTGCCCAATTTCCCTCTGCTTCTCAACGTTGTGCCAGGGGGTAGCTTCCGCACGCAAAAAGTTGCCCCGCACACGGTCTGATCGCAACAACACCTGGTGTTCGGACCGTCACCAGGCCTTTTTCGGGGTGGCCGATTGGAATACCTCGGTGTTGTTGCCATGACGTATGACCGTACAAGTCGGCGAAATGGAAACAACTTCACCCCGCGATTGGCGCGGTGTTTTCAAGGCGACGCCAGCAGCGCAATCCCTGCCAGTGTACCGTCGCTCGGAAAAAAGAACACCCCCTCTGTGTGCACTGTGTATATATATTATAGACCCATGCAGTGGATTGAGGATCGGTGGTGACGACTACGACGCAGACGACGTACGTACTTCAACTTGGGACCCCCTTGGGACGTAAATCATATACGTATGCATGCGGTCACTCAATGATGCAAAACGGGTGCAAAACGGACAAAGCAGCCGAACTTTTCTCGGAAAAAAGTTGCGAACACCGGTGCGCTACTGATCGGACCTGGAACCGCCGACAAGCAACCGGGGCCCCCTGTGACATTAGGGTTATGTTGCAAGCCTGTGACGGTTTGTTAGGGTCGTGCCACCTTACTGTACTGACTGCATGACTGCACTACGATTAGGGTTATACTAACGGCTTAGGCATATTCTTAGGTTTTTAGTGTTGGTGATCCCGGTGTAGTCTTGAATCAGTGCCCGGTTGGCCAGATTGGACGGTGTCCGCGTCCGTTTTTCCGAGAAAAGTTCGGCTGCTTTGTGCCTCTTGCCTCGATGAATGATACCATGCGGTCACTCGCGGGCCCGCGGCGCGCGGCGGGTTGAATCGCCGCGCGCCCGCACTGGCACCGCAGGGTTTAGCTTGCGCTGTCGGGCCAGAGAGATCATAGTACGGTCTGGCAACTTTCGGGAGAACTAACAGACGCTCTAACCAAGATACCTAAGCGCCCGGAAAACAAGCCGGTTTAGGCTGGCGCTAGTGGGCGGTTAGCGTAAAGCTTCCGTTTGGAGCGCGTGATTCAGGTTGTCCATTTGGTTTGAGGGTTTGGTTACGTAAAAGTACCGGGATGACTCAATTCCTTGGTTCAAGTTCTTTAACCTGGTTGAAGGTTCCCATGCCATTGGCCATCTTTCCCGCCATATTAGATTTGAATCCGCAGAGTCTGGCTGGCTGACCAGTACGGTACCTAGTACCTAGTAGCAGCATGATGGACTCGGCCACCTTGGAGGTTGCTGCGGCTTCTGCCTAGGCAAGGGTCGCTTGCGAGTTGCAGCTTTTCTGCTGGGAAGATTGTCCTCCATCTGGGTTCCCAAGTGATTGGGAAGGAGGCGTGCTAGGCAGGCTGCGCTCGGTGTGGCCGTTCCAACTCACCAGCGTCGCTTAGTGCATTGACACCAACAGACAAGATGAAATCACTACTCTCCGGAGCCCCCTTGCATTCCGCCGCCCTTGCGGCACATACTGATGGCGAGCTCAAAGACCTCTGCAGGAAGAAGGATGTCAGAATTAAGGTGTTGGAAGAGAAGCTCCGCTTAACAGAAGAGGCAAGGGACACCCAGATTGAGCAAGTTGTCGATCTGAGGAGCCAGCTTGAGGCAATTGAGGCAATCAGTGCAGCCAAGGGAACATCCTTTGGACCAGATTGCTCCTTGCCAGACGCCAGGCATTCTGACATTGGGTTGATTCTTCAGGAGGAGAATCTCATGTTGAGCACTGCACCTGTCGCAAAGAGGACAAGGCTAACATTTGAGGAATCAGGGGAGGTGCTGACAAGAGGAGGCGCCAATGCAGGTATCATCGCGGGGATCGAGCTGGCAACTCCGGACACGGACAGTGAAGCTTGGTTGCATCCTCCAATTAAGAAGCAGAGAAGCAAACGAACAAGGTCCTCAGATCGAACAAGATCAGGAAAGTTTGCGCGAGTGGAATGGACCAAGGTTTTTGTTGGCCCTGCAAGGCAACCGCCAACCGCCTCCTGCAGAGCTACTCAGCACCGCTGGGGTGATGCAAACCCAATTTTGAGTGATGATGAATCCGATGATGACTTAGAAGGACTTGAAGCGACACCGAGCAAGGAGGAAGAAAAGTACAAGAATGAGATAGAGACCCTGAAAGAGAGGTTGAGCGACCAGGAGCGTGAGGCTGCGGTCAAAGCTCTGGAGGCTGCTGCTGCGAAGGACGAGCTCAGACAAATCAGGCTTAAGAGACTAGAGACCACAGTTGACCAGCGAGCGGTGCAATCTGAGTATGAAGCATTGAAGGGCGACCTTACTCAGAGGTCTAAGGAACTTGCAGAAGTCAAGCACCTGCTTGAAACCAAGTCTGCAGCTATTGAGGATCAACAAGCTGTGCTTGAGCGGATGAAACTAGAGCTCGAACAGTTGAGGTCGCAGGAACAGCAGTCAGTAAGGGCTTCAAGAGAGTCAGCAAAGGAGCTCTCCAGGCTTGGAGATGCAAACCAAGTGCTTGAACTGAAAGTAGAGCAGTTGACGTGAGAGTGCCACAGGCTGCAGCTAGAGAAGGATGCGATCTACATGCGGGGCCTAGAAGAGAAGACAGCATTGCGTCTACGTCTGATGAAAAGCAGGTCCAGATTGAACCGCGTTGAGGGGATCAAGATACCCACAATTCTGGACAATCACGCAAGGGAGGTGAGAAACTGGAGCCCAATCGCTTTCCAGAAAAAGGAACCTTGTGCAGCAGTCTCATCGATGATTAGCATGGCGGAATCCAATCTTGGGCGATGTATTCCTGCTGTGATACAGAACAGGGCCATTGCTTCTATAGTAGCTTTGCATTCAATGTCAATCTTGTTCGCTAGATTCAAACAAAGGTAAGCAGAAGCGGACAGTGTCACAATCAAACAGCATTTCTCTGTATTTGTTGTTCCTATGTGCCTACAATTACAGCAAGCTCAAGTGATGATGGATACATGGATAATTCCAGATTGAGAGGGTGTTTTGAGTAACATTGCTAAGCGTGATCTGCAGAGGGAAGCGGCAAGGGAGATGGTAAGAGAATCAAGTGCAAAGCTCAAACAGCTAACACAGCTCCACAGCGAAGTGGAAACAGCAATCAAACGGGTAAAAGCAGAGTGCCCCTAGCTCCTCTGGCAAAACTGCTGCAGCTTACTTCAAATTTAGGCAACCGTCTTGCTTTGAGATGACGACAGTAAGTGAATGCAATGACGTCAAATTGAAGAAGTCGGACTGTCTGTTGGGTGATCTGATATGATTTTTCTTCCTAGGTAGATGCTCGTAGATGTTTTGCCCACTCTTGGTATTGTATGGTACCCAAGAGTGTCATTGCAGGATCAACTAGTCGTTCTCATGATTGCATCAACTCCGTGAGCTAGTAGATCTGCTGTCATTTATGCGGCTCATGAGATTCTGCGGAAGTTGTACTGTTCACTATCATGTGCCATGATTCTGTATGACCATTCTCATTGATAGCGCTGGTGAGACATTTATTATATTACCAAATATCGCCAGTAGCTCTTGACACCCTCTTCCAGATGAAGTTCGTTGCAATGCACGAATATGTTTCTCAACATCTGAAAAGAGGAGGCCTCTTTGTAAAAAGTTCATGTGCATTGCTCCGATGGACCGGCGAGAAGAAGGCTAAGTTTTACGCATGCATGTTCAACGAATCAATCAATGAACCAAAGTTTGATTTAGGACACTGCGCTAGATATTGCAGTTGGAGGATGAGCTGGCCAACAGTACTGAAAGAATCATTGACGACTAGCTTTAATCACTGAGAAACGCGTGCGCCGTTGCAACCGTCAGTTTCGTCGCTTTAATCACCGCCTGGTAGTAATGTAAAACATGAGGCTTCCCATGACTCGGAGGGCTCGGAACCTGCCATGCAACCATGCAACCTTCGACGTCGAAGGTACCTAGCTAACATGCAACTCTATCCCCACATGGTTCTGAAGTACGTTACTACTAATGCGCATACCGTAAGCATCTGCAGCACCGGAAAGTGAATGAATCTAGAAGTCTATAGCTGACCAAGCTCTGGATCTTGCATGTCAAACTTTTACTTAGGGGCTAGCCTTGCATATGGTTGCCTCTCGCTACGACTTTATTTAGATTGATGACTGGAAGCGTGAGTACGGGCTACTGATATGTACAAAATGTCACAGTCGTTTGGCAGCTTGCAATTGGCTCTACCCAATGGTGATCTGGAACATTCGCCGATCGACGTCCTGATGCGTGTGCTATAAGTAACTCAATACTGCGCCCACCTTCCTTCCTACTTCAAGTCATTTTACCACACGTACTTTCCAAACAAATCTGCGGGCTCACTGGCGTTCACATCGCGAAGCTTTTGACAGCCCAAATGACTACCTTAGTAACCCAATCTACAAGGCGAGGAGATCGGTTCGGGGGATACCCTATCAGGCACTGGGGCCATCCCGTTAAGCTCAGCCTTCTAGCTACATCCTTTTCCTCTACCGCGCCAGCAAACCCCCACTATTTCATATTCTCCCTCGATCATTCCGGAGGACACACCGAGGCTCCGTTCCGTACAGCTTGGACGTTCAATCCTGCACCCTCTCCGATTCCCCTGACTCCCATTTCCCAGCCTCCACGAACTCCCCCCCTCAGCCTTTTGTCACTCTTCGCCTATCGGATTCGCGAGACACCTTCTCCGTTCCCCCTCCCTTCCTCCCCGGCTCTCCTAAGCCCCCAAATCGCGCCCGTCATTCTCCTTTGCTCGCCACATCCCCCCCAATCCCCCGCCGCCCAAATCCCCCGCGCCGCTTCATTCGTCTCTCTTTCAGACGCCGCCCGCGGGAACCGTTTCGTACAGCCGGACGTCCGCGCTCGTGCCGTACTTGATGCGCAGCGCCTCGGTGCACCAGCCGTGGCCCACGTCCACCGACGGCATCTTCACCACCAGCGGCGCGGGAGCGGACCCCGGGGATCCCTTTTCGGGGATGTTCACGCGCGCGCACGCGCGCAGCGAGTCGCCCGCGTCGACGTCGAGGCAAACCTGCGGATGGGAAAAGAGAGGAAGCTGTTTTTGCGGCCGCTTTGAGATTACTTTGCGCGCTGACCGACGGTGGGGAGATGTGCGATTGAGGATGTATCTGCTTGTGCTGTGCTCTAAATCGAAGGTTCAAGGTACGAGATGTTTGCTGATTGACGCTGGAAGCTCTGGATTAGCACAGGAGTGGCGTGCTTTCGAGATGTATGTCTGTTCGCCAATCTGCGTTCGCAATGTCCGTTTCTGCGCTAGACGTCAATGATCAGTGTCCGTTTGTTGAGCTTCTGTAAGAACGGCCCTAGCTCCTTTTTCAAGGTTGACAACCGGATTTCATCGCGCACTTACGCGCACGGTGCGCGCGCGCGCGCAACACCAGCCTGCCCTCCCCTCGTAATGTTCCAGAAACCAGGCGACAGAAGGCAGGCGGAAACTTACGGTGATCATCGGGTGGCCCGCGCGCGCAGGGGGGAGCGGCCCGACCTGGAAGCAGCCCAGGAAGACGTCCTGCTCCGCGGCCGGCTGGTCGCCCTCGTAGATCTGCGCGCGCGAGCATGACGTCAGCCTTAGCGAACTCGACGACAGAGTTGAATAGGAGTACGACGTCCGGTCAAGCAGCCCACGTCGTGCTCCTTGCCCGGCTGATCCCGCTCGTTGGTCTGCGTGCGCGAGAATGACGTCAGCCTTACGTATAGGGAAGTCAAATGAAGCAGCTGAAGAAAACCCTCTGCTGAAAGGACCGCTGCTCGAACACATGAGCCGGCGCAAGCGAGCGTGACGTCAGCCCTAGCGAGCCTTAAGGACAGCGAAAGGACCGTCGTGACGTCTGTTTAGTGATTACAGCAGTACACTTCAAACCATCGACGAGAATTCAGTCCGCACCTGAGCTGGATCCAATTCCGACCAGGTTCACCATCCCATCCCATAAAAATGTGTCTTGTGAAAGGTTCCGCAGATCAGAAACGCCGACTAACGCTCAACACAGGCAATTATTACAATAAATGTGCATTTTTGCGGATGCTGTACCGCAGAATTTGGGAGTGCGTCTTCAACTTGAACTCGCCAAAGCGCTACCTTTCTGACGGGCATGCTTTGAGAAGGAAGACTCATATTTTGCTTCTTTCTTCTTGAATACACCCGGACCTATGCAAGTCTGCCGGGTTACACTTTCTTGCCCAACAGTGAGAAATCTTGGACAATGGGCGGAAGCCTAAATGAGCAATGCCGAGTGGGTGAGACAAATGCTTCCCTATCAGACGCAGTTTCATTCCTTTCCCCTTCGAGAGGGGGAAACCTCATTACCAGTAGCCTTGGTTCTGATTTAGGAATCTGTCTTGAGCTTGAATCGTTTGCCTTACCTGGATGATTGCGCTTTCTTGGTTGTCGTTCACCGTCGTGAATATAAGCTCGCGGGAGGTTGGGATCAGCGAGTTCCTGAAGCGGATACGCGATGTTTGTAAGGATCGATGCACCGGGGACTAGATTGATTACTACTTGCAGTCTCGTCGGGCAGAACTTTTTCAGGGTCGTGGTTTTTTGGATTGCACAACACTTCTTCCTTGGCTACGTTCAAGCGAATCCGGTCCAGTTGAACGGTGAGTAAGTTGGGTTGTCAAAAGTACACAATTCAATTACAGGCACAGCCAGATTCACCACAAATCTCTCGCACTTCGAATCGTATGTTCTCAGGAAAGATAAAAGCGCGTGGGTCAAACAAAAGACAAGTACAAAACTGATGAGTTTTTGCAACCGAATTACGATAGCGCGACAGCTTCAAAGGAACCCTCGCATGCGAAAGCTATCTCCAGAACCGTTAAAGATAAGGTAATCAAGAGTTGAATGAACGGTTTTCCAAAGTAACAACAACAAAAGCAGGGTCTTTCACAAGGGTGCTGGCCTCAATTGTCCAAGTTTCTGAGTAAAACCCAAGATTTTGGCGACCTACCGGTGCAGTATCGGCATGAAAATGTCGCCCTGTACTTTGATGCCCAGCGGGTGGTTGATACCCTGCAAGGATAACCCAGGAAACGATCTCGTCTCAAGTTGTTTGGATTGACTGTCTTTGAAGGATTTTTTTTTGTCGAGTCCACGTTAGTACGTTTGATAAACCACAGATTGCAAGGGTGTTTGGCCATTTGGCGCGCGTATGCTCTATTTCGTGAAGCACACTACTGGATCAAAGCAGTCGGTCCGAGCCAGCAAGACGTCAAGCAATTTCTGAATTGGTCCCTCCTAATCACAGCTGCTAGCTCGAATAAAGGCCAGAAGCTGGCATCAGAACTTGCTAATGAGGATGAGGGCTCGTGAGCTCCCACTAATTTTCTTCTTCCTTGCCAGCCCGCAGAACGTCCTTAAGCGACACCCCATTGATCCCAGCATTACACGTTACCGATAAAGACTGAAGCTTGGAAGAAGTCTTATTGTGGCTTTCTGAAAGATACGCCATTAATAACCAGTCGACGCTCTTTTTCCGCTGCATTAAATCTACAATTGCAGCAGGAGCGAATGTTAAACCCACGTCTTTGAGCCAATCCCTCGAGAATATAAGCTTGCATGCTGCCGGTTGAGATACTTTCTAGACACTGCGGTTCGTCTGTCTGGACGATGATTCAGCAAGAAATATATGCGAACCCAAAGCAGCAAGAAACTTCTCGGACCTCAAGGCAGCCTTCGAACAGGTCAAGTGGCTCAAACATTTCATTGACTTCGCAAATTTGGATGCAGAGAATTTGGAACGTCTGAAATCGAACCTGACCATTGCAGAAAAGCGGGATAGATGCTTCGTTTCCACGCTAAAGCCTCTGAGAAAATTGGGTGTCTTGGTGTCCGGGACGCACTCACAGAGAAGAGTATTCGAAAGCATAAGCTCGGACGAAGAGAAACCTCTTTATTGGTTTGAGGAAAAGCCGCAAACTAACGGGCGAATCTGATGCGCCCACAAACAATGACAAGAAGAAAGCTTATCTGCAGAAGAAGCAGGTCTTTATCGACCCCCTCCATCCCCCCCGCGATCGCCGCCTCTAGCGCCGCTCCCTTCACCAGCCGATCGTCCACTTCCTCCCCCTTCTTCACCCGCCGTTCTCCCCCCCCCTCGCCGCTAAACATCTCCCTCAGCAGTGCATCCATCTTCGCGATTTTCGTCCCCCCCCCCAGCAGCAAAACCTCGGCCACGCCCGAGGGTTTAAGCCGCGCGTCGGCCAGACACCGCGCGACCATCTCGACGCACGCGCGGAACAGGCTCGCGTTCGCGTCCTCGAAGTAGGCCCTGTTGAGAGTCGTTCCGACCGCGAATCCCTGCGGCAAATTGACGGTCTCCTGCTCCGACAGGGCCTGCATCGCCTCCCGGTACGTCTGCCAGATCTGGAAGAGGATTTTGCGGTCCGAGGGCGGCGCGGCCGCGGGGTCGCGCGCGCGGTGGTCTGCGAGCGCGCGCGCGACCAGGTTGTTGACGAAGTCGTCGGTGCCGAACGGCGCGCCGGCGATCGCGCGGCTCTCGGAGACGCCCTCGTCGATGCTGCGGGAACGTGGAAAGGTGGGGATTGATCAGAAGCGCGGTTTTAGAGAACCAAGAGCGTCGCTAAGGATCCAAATCTCGCTTTTGCGATACGTTTTTGTAGCGGACAAGGATGACTTGCCTTGAGGATTCACGCGCGTCGTCTTCTGCTCTCACTTTGTGTCAATAATTATCCTGAATTGGCTTCTCTCTATTGCCAGTCGAAAGAAAACTCCCGATGTTGCACCAAATTCGAAGCTCGATTTCCTAAGGGAACGCGTTCGATAATGTGTTCAGAGATGGAGCTCCGTACCTGGCCTGGTAAGGATCTAATGACGCGCAAACCCCTTACATTCCATATTTATACGGAGGTCACTTCACCCTAGGAAAAGAACAAAGCTATGCAGTGACAGGCCCACTCTCAGTGGATGCGCGCAGAAGTTCAAGAGGTCTACCCGACCGCATCTGGACCTGCACGCGCTAAAATGCTTCCTTAATCCGGGGTTAATCTTTCAAGTGAGCCACTTTTTGAACCTGAAGCTTTCAATCGTGCTTTGGAAATTGGTGTTGAGGAAATCCAAATGCCAACGTATCCTCAGCAAATTGAATTGTGAGACATGAAGTCCGCGAAACGTCGAAGTGCTAATTTCCGACTTCGCAACGTTTGAAAACGGAACGGAAAACACAGACGCGCTTCGTGTTGAAACGGCATACCCACAAAACACGAGAAAAGCGCTGACGTCAGTTGACGTCCTCACCTGACGATCCCGACGCTACAGTACCCCGACCCCAGATGGAACACCAGCACGTTCAGCTCCTCGTCTTCCGGCTCCTTTTGCTTCCCTTTTCCTCCCCCGGTTTCCTCCCCCGGGCCGCTCTCCTTCCGCTCTCCTTCCGCGCTCATTCCGCTCTCCTTCCGCTCGCCTTCCGTGCCGCTCTCCTCCTGCTCTCCCTGCGCTTCTCTCTCCCCGGTTGCTTTCCCCCGGGCGCTCTGCCGCTGCTTATTCTCCGCCGCGTGGAGTAGCCCGACCGCGTTCGGCTCCGCCACGATGCGCTGCACGCGCAGCCCCGCGGCCGCGGCCGCGGCCGCGAGCCGCGAGCACTGGAAGCGCGTGAACGCAGCCGGCGACGTCAGCACCGCGTCGCTGACGTCACGCCCCAGGAAGCGCTCGGCGGCGCGCTTCAGGTAGTGCAGCTGGAGCGTCAGCACTTCTTCGGGGGTCACCGACTCCCACCGGTCGCCCTTTTTGAGCGCGATCACCGGGCGGATTCCGATGCCCGGGAGTTGCACCAGAAACGGCCAGAAGCGGCTCCCCGACTGGAGGCTCTCGTCGGTGTCCACGCGCCCGACTATGCGGCGCGCCCGGTGAGTCGCCCCGCCCTCCGAGACCCGCTCGAACGCGGGCCACCCGATGAGGACCCTATCCCCCGGGGAGTCGTCGGGGGATCCCCCGACCGCGACGCACGATGGAATCTCCTTGTTGCCTTTCTCGTCCAGCGGAATGAGCTTGATCTCGCCCTCGTGCCAGACCGCCACGCGGCTGAAGCTCGTCCCGAGGTCGATCCCGATCGCCGGGCTGGGGCCTTTGAAGCGCTCCCCTTCCTCGGTGGAACTCCTGGGGGATCCCTCCTCAGAGACCGGGTAGGTCGTCTGGTACTGAGTTTCTTCCTGCATGGGCTCCGCCATTTTTGCCCGGTGCTCTGTTCCGGGCGCGGGCTGCGCGGCGGCTTCTTTCTTCGCGGTTTTTACCGGTTCCTTCGCACCGCCCGGTTGGGCTTGCTCAGAGAAAGCAAGTGGGCGTTTCCCTGCGCTGATTCTGGTTACCTTTCCAGCCAAGGCCCCTGTGTATTGGATTTGCATACCACTGGAAGGGAGAGGAGAGGATGAAGAACTGGAAGAGCACCCAGCAGCTGCGAAGTCAAGTTGTGTTTTGAGAGGACTTGACGCAAGGATGGAGGAACTAAGAGTACTACAGCGGGATTTTCCTTGTGGAGTGCCTAAGCTTTGAAAGCTGAGCGGTTGGTGGAGGCATGCAGAAACCATCGGAAGCCTGGCAAGGCGCGCGCGGACCTCTAAAAGCTTCTCCTTTCAACTCCCTGATAAGCAGCCAGAAATGTGTGGAGGAGCGCTATCTCTGACCGCTTCGCCGGAGTTGAAACGCTTAGAGCTCTCCTTGCGACATCTCTGACCCACGGCTTAAGCTGAGTTTTCTGCACATTTGATTTTGCATGGGGTTCAAGACGCCTGCCAAGAGAGAAGATCGAATCGCCTCGGAGAACAAGTGCTTCTTTCGTTTGATTCCCCGTTACCATTCTCTTGGTGGGTTTACCAGAAATCATCCATGATAGATTTTGCGACCACCTTACACCAATCACCTGCACCAGTCTCGTTGAGATATTCGACTTTGTATATTGCGTCAAGAGTCCCACTTCGCCATAAATGAACTCAGTACGGTAAGCCTGCGTCGAAATCGCGGACTTATTGTGCATGGCCACGCTCCGACTTGATCGTCAGGTTGCTGGTTTGCGTCGGCTTACATGGAGAGTTCGACGGTAAAGTGTGGGGTCTGTGAGCTTATTCAAAGTTAGGTAACGAACTGCGACCGCTACCATGTTTTGTCTCCTTTTTAAGACTTCCAAATCCCTAGGTCTGCATGACGATCCCTTCCAATGCACCACTTCTCATGGCGTGCATATTTTACCCTTCAATCGTTCAACTGTCAACGGTTGATCAACAGTATGCGTATCAATGATCATTGTGTGATGTCCACACCGGCAGCTAGCCTAGCCTAGTTGCCTAGCCTAGTAGAACAAATTGCTTGACGCACAGGCGCGGCCGGCGGCCGTCCCGGCCTTGCTAAGAAGAAACGTACAAGCGGAAGAAGCGGCGGGCGGCTGCCGCGTGCAGCCAAGCACGCGTGCAGATCGATATATGAGTCTGCAATGTATTGCATGAGTCTTTAATACCCGACGTACGTCCATGACTAAGTTCGAAGCTAACTAGCTATACCCGGCTAGTAGGATCTTGCAACTTGAGAAAACCATGACGCCAATGCCACATGCAGGCTTTTTGTCATGCGCTCAAAAAGCACTCGGCATTGCAGATCGATCCATACTGACAGCCGTCTTGATTCACATGCATGCTCCCTCAGTCACATCGGTTCAAGTTTGTAAGTGCGGTGGCTATAACCTTTTGGCAATCAGCAATTGGCAATCGGCAACAAAGCTTTATAATTGGCCATGGAATGAGCTATTTGCAATGAACGAACATATGCTCCGGCCCGGCGGCCGCGCCTAATGGTGATAACCTGATGCCCGGCCTGAAGCGGCCCGACTACGTGCCCTTTCTGTCAAGCATGCAGCCGTCACTTGTTCTTCCGAAGGAGTCCAGTGAAACACTCAATCCGCATCCCATAATGCCATACCAATGATTGGATCGAATTATCCCAGCCAATACTGCTTTCTGAGTGACCGGCCGTACGTCAGAAGCACCAACAGCCGCCCAAAGGTTCGCTCAGGTTCCCTGTTCCTAGACTCAACCTGCCAATTTACCCCCCCCGTCCGTCTGTTTCCTATATAGCGGGAACTCTACCTGGGCTCGACTTCCAGTGGCCTTCAATCTATACGCCCAAAGTGCCCTTGTCTCGGCTAGCACTGCCCCTAGCTACCCATCAGAAGACGGTCAACCTACCCTGTTCGCTGTCGATCGCTATCCCGTTTGGGGAACACTTTCCCAACCCCTCTCGCACTAAAGCCAAGGTGTTTTACGTGTATCAAATGACCTTAACATCAGCTCACGCGACCCCATTCGCTGTCGTCATCCCGTTGGCGGACCGCTCGCCCGATGCGTCGCCCACTAGTGGCAGGCTCTTATGCGTGTACTTAATGTCCTTGTCTTTAGCGACCACGTGGCCCTTCCCCCGGAGAAGCCACCGGCTCGTGAGCAGCCCCTCGACGCCGACGGGCCCGCGCGCGTGTATCCGGCTTGTGCTGATGCCGACCTGCAGATAGAAGTGCAAAATGAGCTTGTGTCCGTTGAATCCTGTTCATTGATTCAGGCTTCAACAAAGACAATTTCGACAGATACGAGAGCTGGATAGGCAAGCCTGTAAGCGGAAAATTGCTGCTATACTGCCACGTCTCCGATGCCGAGGCTTGGCTAAATCAAAGCCAAGAAATGTGAGGATGCTTCCAATTGAAGTCAAGTGGTACCGCCAATCTTTTAATCGCTTTGTTCTGAAGCTTGGAGCAGGGTATCCTTCAAATTCATCGCAAGCATACCATCTTCACGGTAACAATTTGCTGCCAGTTGGTTGTTGACTTGAGATGGGCAACCCATCACATTGGAAGCAACGGAACAGTGGTCCAAAGAAGCACAGAGGATGATGATAACCAACTTCAGAATATAATCCAGCAATTCTTTCGCAGCACTTGACATATCGCTGCCTGTAGCTTAGTCCGGACTCATTCGCACGACCAGACAAGAAGCAAAAGCGTAACTGCCATTAACTGCCAAACCGCCACATCCGAACCGCATGGTTTAGAAGCTCACCTCCGCCCCTAACCCATATCTAAACCCGTCCGAGAAACGTGTGCTCGCGTTGAGATGCACGCACGCGCTGTCCACGCTCCGCAAAAACAGGTCCGCAGCCTGGACGGAAAAGAGTAAGCGCAATAAGCTCGCTCGTTTGAGGGTTCGCGGCTTCTCTTGCATCTTAGAGCTTCCGGAGTTGACGAGAAAGAAATCTTCGAAGAAGGGGAAAGTCAGGTCTCAAACGACGGCAGGACCAAGGGTGCAAAGCTGCTAGGGAAGGGGACAGAGCCCCGCTAGTTTGGTTCCTTCAAAAGCTGACACCAGTTTCAGTCACTTGCGAAAAAAAAGTAATGCCTTTCTGCTAATGGTTACTCCTCTTATAGCCCGTGCTGATAGGAAATTGTTAAGCCGCACGGGCGCGCAGTCAATGTGCAAGAGTATGCAGGCAATTGGGCCACTTTTCCATAGCCATCGATTGACACCGAGAAGACAGAACAATCTCCAGCTGCCCAGAGCAAAACGAGCAGTCTAATTTCGTTCCGCAGACTGAATGCTTGGCACTCTGGCACAATTTGGCCAGACTCTTTGCAGATCTCCAGAACATATCCACTCGAAAACGTTATCCATGATCCACTCGGTTACGTACTCAACTCTTACACGCATGCATGGGGTAAAAGCCATTCTGAAAACTCATTCTACATTTGTAGCCAGCGAACGCTACAAACCAGCGACACTAGAGCTGCAGCTTCAGCCAAATCGTCGCCAAGCGGCTAGTCCGACCATCAGTAACTCACCTTTTGGTCTTCCGTAATGATTGCTTCCGTATGCGAGCTCCCGTGGGCGTGTATGTGGTCAATTGCCTCCTGGATGTCCCGCACAATCTCCACCGTACATGTGTCATCCCCGTACTCCACGTGGAAGTCCTTAGACTCGTCGAGGTTCAGCAACGCCGCAGCGCGCTTGCCGCCCTTGAGGGTGACGCCTGGCACATGTCAGCAGATCGTTGAGGTCAGCAATAAGAGAGCACTTTTGAAGTTGAGTTTTCCAGGTCTTACCTCGCATTCTTATGTGTGTCAGTATCTCGCCTTGGATACACTTTCTTTTGAACCAACGCTCCCAACGGCCTCCAAAGCAAAAGCCCACGCTTAGGCAATCTTAACGCGTTGTCCACTATCTCTGCTCCTCAATACATTCGTGCACCTGCGCTATCTCGGATCGTAAATGCTTCACAAAGAGGAAACATTAATTCGAAAAACTCCCTTTATGAAATAGAACAGAACGAGAAAGTGTACAGATCCGACCACATATTCCTGGACCGTTAGTTCAAGTGCACCCAAAACCTTGTCCCCTTCCTTTGCCCTTCACTACACTCGTGTACACGCGCTGTCTCAGTTTCGCGATGCCCAAAATGAGGGGAACAGCAACTCGGCATCTCTCCTAGAGATAAACGAAAGAAAAGGGACATAAGACCAATCTGAAACAACGGATCCTATACCCACGCACCTCCGATCTAAGCGCATCTAGGATCTTATTCCATCACTTCCTTGCCCATGGCCAGAGCCTCATGCACACGCGCGTCAGTACAAAAAAGCTTCATCACCTTCTAAAGAGCACAAAAAGAGCACTAAAAGAATAAGAAAATAGATTCACTCGCGGACAAAGGACGCACCTGCGATCTCGAGCGCATCCAGGATCTTGTTCACTTCCATGCCCTCCGCCAAGTCCTCATGCACAAGCGGTGTCTCATTGCAAAAGGCTCTATGATAGAAAGAAAGCCAAAAAAAATTACGTCTTAACAGAACCCAAAAAAGTAAGAAACGAATGTGCACTGCGGACAGAGAACGCACCTGCGATCTTAAGCGCATCCAAAATTTGATTGAATTCCTTTCCCTTCGCCAGATCCTCGTGCACAAGCAGCGTCTCCATCGCGTTGCACGCGGCCGGGTAATCGATCTTCGCGTCGACCACCACCTTCTTCGCCATGTCCACGTCAGCAGCCTTGTCGACGTACACGTGGCACACCCCGTCCGCGTGTCCCAGCACCGCGATCTTGGTGTTCTCCTTGATGTGCGTCACCAGGGCGTTGCCGCCGCGGGGGATGACGAGGTCGATGACGTCATCCAACTGTCAAAGATGCGGCTTAAAACTGGTTCAGTTTTCCTTCGTAAAAGAGGGTTGAAGCGATGGCCTGATGTGACCTTGGTGTTCTCCTTGATGTGCGTCACCAGGGCGTTGCCGCCGCGGGGGAAACGAGGTCGATGACGTTATCCAACTGCAATTATGTAGTAAATACGCAGTTTAGCTCTCTCCATGATATCTTCTCTTCTGGTGTTTGAAAGCGGACGCTCATAGTGGTCTTTAGTGTTTTTCTTGATGTGCGTCACCAAGGCATTGCCGCCGCAGGGGTACACGAAGTCAATGAGGTCATCCAACTGCAGCGATCCGAAAGAGTATGTGTTTTAGCTCTTTCGTCGTGTTGTTTGAAAGCGGACGCTCAAAGTAGTCTTTTATGATCTCCTTAATGTGCGTCACCAGGGCATTGCTGCCGGGGTGGATCACGAGGTTGATAACGTTATCCAATTGCAGCGATGCAAAACATTCGTGACTCAGTTCTATCTCTTCTTGGTATCTCTTCTCTCTCCTTGGTTTCTCGAAAGCGGGTGTGCATCAGCAGGCCATTGCCGCGGTGGAGAATGACGAAATCGGTGACGTCATCCAGTTACACAAAATTGGAGAGAGCTTTTTTGTGCTGATTTCACGGTGAATCCGCACAAATCTTCCAGTGGCAGGGGCGCCAGCAGCCTTCCAAACAGACAAGCAACCGAACCGGAAGGGATCGCCCCGGACGCCGTCTCGCTGCCTCACCTTAAGCAGGTCTGCAATGCCCTCCCGTGACGTCACCAGGCCGATCAGGTGCGGGCCAACTGAAGGTGGGAGTGCCTCTGTGATGATCTGCACGTGAAATTCGGCTGACGTCAGCTTGCGACATCAGCAGGACGTACAGCCTAAAGACCGGCTCTTTTCAGTGACTGATGTCCTTGGCCGAGCGACAGATGCTGAGGGTCCAATTAACCCCCAGCGCAAGTGCAGGCATCCCGTCATGGCGTTCTGGATGATCAAAATCTAAGTAGCTCCCCATCTCTACTTCTGACGGCTTTCAACCAACTGGGCAGCACGTGTGGGTGGGGCAAAGTAGACCTTGACTGTATGCGAGAGACCGGAGAAGAGACTACACGATGAAAGATAGGACCATGTACACCGCAAACAAGCCTCCAGGGACTGCATTCGAGCAGGCTGCCTTTTGCCTCCCGTCTGCAACAGCCCGGTTTCCAATGCAGATTGCGAGCAAAGCGTTCTGCAGCAGAGCATCTGGACTTGGCTCAGAAAACACCTGATGCTACAACCCTTAAACCTGGAGATTATGGAGCCGAAAGGCTTTAAGGACAAGGCAAACCCACTTTATGAAGAATCGCGTTTGATCGTGCAGCCTCCTTGCCTCCCTTCAGCAGCAGCCCGTTCCCGCTCCGGATCGCGAGCGACGCGATCTGAGGAAGGGCGTCGGGGCGCGACTCGAAGATGACCAAAAGCACGCCTAGCGATGCCGTTCGCTTTTCGAGGACCAGACCTTCGGCTAGCTCCATCTTCTTTTGGAGCTGAGAAACGGGCTCGTCCATTGCGGCGATGGAGCGGATCCCCGCCGCTAGTTGGGCGATCTACAGAGAAAGATTTACGGGTTTCCATCACAGAGGACAACGCCATCCGGCATCTTTTGTTTCTCGGCTCAGATCTTCGGCGAGCTCCATCTTCTGTCAGCGCAAGGGCATGGGTCCGTCCATTGGGGCGATGGAGCGAACCCCGCTGCTAGTTGGCCAATCCACAGAGATTCAAACGGACCTCTATCGTGACAATGTCTTCTAATCCAACACGTTCCGGCGCCAGTCGATCATAATCTTCAGAGAACAGGCTTGGAGCCTTCGGGTTTATGCGAAGTTTTTCGGAAACGGGCTGAAAGATTGATCTTCACCTTGCCGGGCTTGAGCTTGAGCCGTTGCAGGAGCGCGTTGGGCGTGTCGGACGCCTGCGCCTGCTGGACGTCCAAACCGTTCTCCTTGAGAATCAGCTCCTCGTTCTTCACCAAAGCGTCCGCAACGTCCAACAAGATTTGGCTGCGCTCCGCTGACGTCAGGGCCTGCGTGGGAACCAAGCTACATAGTCAGGAAAGTTTATGAACGTGGAGTGAAACGGCGTTAGCTTCAGATATTTGCGGGAGACCAAACCGTTCTCCTTGAGATTCAACTTGTCGTTCTCCACCAAAGCGTCCCTAACGTCCATTATCTGGCTGCGGTCTGCTGACGTCAGGGCCTGCAAGAGAAGCTCACATAGCTTATCAGCGCAGGTTTTCCCAACGAGAAAGTTGAGTTTTGAGATTTGCGAGCGCCCAAACCGTCTCCCCCAGAAGCTGACCCTCGAAGCATCGACAAAGCCCAGCTGAATCTGGCTACGTTTCAATGACGTCAGCGTCTGCAGAACAGAAGCACAGAAGGTATGCCAGCTACGTTTCTGGTCTGTCTGGGGTCAGCTTGAGTTTATGGTGCCTAGACCATTCAGTCCCTTACCTTCGCGGACAGCTCCTCGTTCCCACCTTTTGAATCAAACGAAGGGAGCCGAACGAAATAGATTGTTTCTTCCTCACCTGAAGTTTTCGAGAGGCAGTCCGGGCCGCCACCGCTGCGTCGCGTGACTTCCCGATGTCGGACCCCTTTGTGTGTGAGTGGTCCCACTTGGCGGCGTCGCGGTGTATTAACGTACCAATGTGGTCGCCGTTCATGACCTGCAGGATACGCAAAAACAGTTGTCTATCTGGGCGACGAAAAGATTATAAGAACCTCTCTCTTTCAGTAACTTAGTCGACTGCAAGCGATCAAATCCGTCAAGTGAGAGCAATTGCTTTGCTGTCCGTTGGGTACTGAGCTCAGTCTGAATCTCTTCGAAAATCGAACAGAAGCCTAGAAGTCAGGAATGAGCCAGTCAAGGCTACTAGGTAAGGTCGAACGACATTCTCCAAAATGGCAGAAAGTCTGCTCCGGGCAAACACAGGAGCAGAGTCGGCACTCCCGAACAGCATTGGGATACCATGTTGCGTGCACCTCTAGCCGCATTCTTCTTTATGGTCCACAAATGATTCCACAGGCCATCATCAGTTACAGAAAACTTGCTGTTTCTCTGAAGCAGTCTCACTAGTCAACCTAAAAGTGACGTTCTGAAGTAAATCATTTCCTCCCCCTGCTTTCTCACCTTGGACACCACGTCAGCCACCCCCCCGTTTGCGATGACGACTGGAACCCCTGATTTCGCTGACAGCCACGCCGCGTCGATCTTCGCGGTCATCCCTCCACGCCCGACGCGGGACTTCTCACCAAACGTCACTTGCTCGTGGTGCAGCTCCCGGATGTAGGTGTGAATGAGCTCGCTCGACTTGTCGCTGGGAGGGCCGGTGTACAGGCCGTCAACCTGCGAGAGAGATTCACATCTTTGTCATTCACACCTTCGTCATTGAGTGCCGGAAAACAACGTGATCTGCAGACTCGCGAATTTGCCACATGGACAATCAACGGCGGACACGGGACAGCCAGATAAGATTGAATAAATTGACATAAGGCCAGAGCGACCAAGGCGTCAAAGGTGAGTGAGCTTGCGGAGTCTATGACTCACGAAACCTCGTATCCTCGCCCAATAATCTTGGCACAAACGTAGGAAACGCCAGATTGCAGTAGAACCCAGCATCTTATTTTTGAATTTGATGGGGGATTGAGCGCCTGATACGGGATCGAGAACGGTCCACTGTGGGCTAGGGTTTTTCAGTCCTGTGTCTCATGAAACTCGTCCTCACCAAAAGCAGACTGGCACGAATGTTCCTCATTTAAACAAGGTCAGGCCAAAAAGGTTTTCTAGACAGAACACGGACCTCCCCTTTTGCATCGAACGAGTGGTATCTCAGGAGGCATGCATCCGCGCCAGTTCTAAGATGACAAAAGACATGCGAAGATGACAAAAATCTATTCAGATCAAATAGCAACACCGACGGGCCTCCATTATTGAGAAAAGGCGTCAGCTTCCCTGCAAATAGCCCATTGAGAGTTTTTCTCAGACGGCTTGCATCACCGCCCGTTTAGCTTCACAGTTTCACATCAGCACAATTTCAAGTCGCTTAACCACTTTGGCAACCGGCGAAAACAGGGACGCATCAGCTACATCTTAGTCCTCTTGAGAATCATATTCCTCAGTCGACTTTAACGCTACAAAAACTGCAACCGCTCGACATTTCCAAACGTGCTAGAAGCGAAGACCGGGGCAACAGCACTTCAGACGCTGCCGTAGAAGCCGGATACTGTCCCTATGATTACGGCTCCGCCTGAAACTCCGTCTAGGTTATCAGATGGTCGGCATGTGCTGCCACTGCCACCAGCTTGGTCATCAGCGAAATGCCTCGTCCGCTGCCCCTTAAATCTCAAGAACCAGAGAAGTGCAATCAGAATAAGCGACGATTCTATCAACAGGTTCGGAGGGGCAAGGTGCTTGAACAAATGACTCGTACTGAGCTTGTGACATAGCGTCAAGCATATTGCCAGTGAGTGCTGAGAGCGCCTCCATTGACCGAGGCCTTTTGAAGAAGCGAGGGAGACAGAGCAATCAAGCCAACCATGTTCCGCAAAAGATGGAGATGTCGACAAGCAAACACTTAGCAACGGGGACTCGAAAACAGATGAACCTTTCAGCTGGTCGTTCGATGGTTACGTGCTACGGGTCAAGTGAACCATACCGAGCCGCCCCAAGACTCGACCTTTTTGGCGGAGCAAAACAATATCAAGGGCAGGGAAAGGTAATGGACACAGGGGACACATAAGACCTTTCTTAAACGAAAAGCCGGTTTCACAGGGGCATCTGGACCCGCAAGGAACGCTTGAGAAAAGAGATGCTCAGAACACAGGTCATCCTTACCTCGCAATAGGGTTGTTTTATTGCCGACGCTCCATACAAGCACAACACTGATTTCTGCTTATTGACCTCGTTGATCCTTAAGCTTGATGCGCGTATACTCAGCGTTTCATTCAAGGACCTTCATTTACAAAGGCGTGCCTTCCGCTCGCCGGATCAGTCGATTCTTTGCGCCGGAACAGAAGCAACGTCAAACATCTTTGGAAACTACGAGGAAGGACTTTCAGGATCCCTCTTCCTTCAATCTTATGTAGCGTTTTCTTTCACAGCAGGCTTCGAGCCGGAGGCACCTGATCTTCTCGGATCGATCTCTCTGATCTGTCCATGAGGGCATCAGACCTGCCTCTACAGCGGTGAGAAGCAGCTTCCCAGGAGATGACGTCCTCGCCCTTGCACGCCGCACTCAATACTCACGGACTGTCGGCGAAATTCCCAGCAAGTGCTGAAGCTCAGACACGGGCATAAGCACACCAAATAATCTGCTGCTTGTTTGAAAAGGAAGTGGGAAAAGTCGACGAACACACCGTTTAGTAGCACCCAGCTTCCGTTCCCTCCCTTCCGTTCCCTCCCTTCAGGACTCAATGCGAAATGAATGAAGTGCGTAAGCATAAGCGCCCGTGTGAGCACAGCTTGCCTAGGCACAAATCTCTCGTACTTTTAACTGACTTTATCAACATAGTAATATGTTATTCTGTTCCATAGGATGCGTCTGGAAATCTGGTGGGAATGTTGTACCAAATAGAATGGCCTCGTATGCCCGACAGAGACCTGGCCAAGACAAGCAAGCCAGAAGGGGCGTTCCTCATCGCCTTTTCTCAATGCCGTGCTGGACAAGTAGACAAAGTTATGTTGTAGTATTCAGACCGCCTGGAAAATGCTATCTGCATCTGACTATGTTCGAAGTAGATTTACTCAATGGCTTCCCACGTGCTTATAGGGACGGAAACTGTTGCAGGACGAGGCAAGACACATCGAAACAACTTAGACTGTTGGAAATACACATCGACTGGAAGAATGTTCCGCATCGGAATTCCAGACAGAACGGAGGAGGCATGGTGTGTTTGTTGGAGCCTTTAAAATATACTCTCCAGGAAATGGCGCATCTTCGCCCCTCAGAGCTGTTATCAACATGAAAGTCGTACTTAAAAATGCGTCAAAAGTTCGCAAACATGCGTTTTATACTGATTGAAGTCGTCAAAAAGGCACCCTCACGAGGTATGTTTTTGCGGTCCTTGCCCATTATCCGCTCACGGCATCCGCGAACACGTGCTTCTGAACTCGTCTCAAGTTCTTCACCAAACCAATCAACCTCGACGCAGAACTTGTAGGAATAGCCGCATCCTTGCTCTCTTCTTACCCAGCAAAGGGGAGCAAGGGCGCACCTTCTTTCTTTGACAGGCGGTCTGGAAAGCGGCATCTCGAAAGGACCCACTCCTGGCTTTGCTTAAAGCTTGCCAAGCGGGAAACAGTATTTTCCTCGCCCTTTCGTCGTCCAAAAGCAGCTCGCCAGCTTTTCAAAGTTTTCGACAGCGCCTTCAGAAGGTCCATTGTAGAGCAACATTTTCAGCACAGGAGAAGCTCGCAAAAGGCCACGCTGGGTTCATAACGTACCCCTGCGGGGAGACTCCGGAAAGCGGATGGCAACCATAGGAGACTAACTGAGCAGATCCAAAATGACTGAGGATCGAAAAAAGAAAAGAAGCAGAGACTGACTGGGTAAGACAAGGAGCAACGGGTCGAAAGAGGGGTCGAAAGCTTCATAAAAACCATCGGATGAAGACATTCGATGATAATACACAGTCGCTCGACAACGAGAAAGGGAGGAAAGTTTCGCCAGCTCGGACTCACAGCGCTCAGAAAGAACCAGGAAAACCGGCCTTTAAGTCACCCCGCCAACAGCGCCGTCAGACGGTCAGCTAGAGCGGGACAAAACCATGCCAGCCCAAACTCACGTCGCTCAGAACAACCAGAACATCGGCCCCGAGTTCCCGTGCCAACAGCGCCGCCAGGCTGTCAACTAGAAAGGGCGGCAAAACCATGCCAGTTCGGACTCACGTCGCTCAGAAGCACCAGAAGATCGGCCCCGAGTTCCCGCGCCAACAGCGCCGCCAAACTGTCGTTGTCCCAGAAGATGCCGCTCTCGTCGTTGTAGGGCGCCTTCCGCGTCGAGATGGCGTCGTTCTCGTTGAAGACGGGCACGATCTTGTTGGAAACTAGAGCGGTGACGGTTTCGCGCAGCCGGTCCCGGAAGTCCTCGTGGCCGAAGTCGGAGTCGGTGACGAGGAGCTGACTGCACGCCACGTCCAACTGCAGTACGGGTGGGGTATGCGGGTCAAAGTTGGTTAGTAGCCAGTTCAAGTGACGGTATGCTCGAACCCGACGAAACCCCCGTCTTTTCCGAGCTGCTGGTTGCTGAAGTCGGAGTTAAAATCGAAGAGCTGACTGCACGCCACGCCCAAGTGCAGTAAGGGACAGGAGGATTTTGGTGCGAAAAAAGACTGGGTCAAGCAATGGTGCGCTCGGAGTTCAAGAGGGCGCCGTCTTTGGTGAAGTGCTCGTGGCCGAAGTTGGAGGTAGTGACGAGAAGCTGCCGTGCTGGCTCAACGAACGAGCTCGGAAACTTCACAGTCTTGCGACTATTGTTCAGCCCAACGTCGCACCCCATCATGAGCCAGCTCTACTAGATCACCAACGGATAAAGATATCTACCAGAGGCCTGAGAAGTATAAGTCATGAAGCACAGACTCGCTCAACCAGTCCATCTTACCCATGTCAAAGATTCTGCCAAGCAACGCTGATCGGAAACGAAAAGACACCCCGGGTTCTCGAAGAGAAACTGTTGAAACAACGCGTGTCTGTCTGAACCACCTTCGCTGAACGACTCTAGTTTGGCAAGTCGATCAGATATTGATGCCACTACCGGATTCACATATGCATTCGCCTTACAGCGCAACATGTGGCGTCATCAGTCTGCACAATCTCCACGATCGAATTTCTGCCAGAAGAGTCCATTGCATCCCCAACAACACTGAGCAAATGCACAAAAAGGCGAGAAAACAATAGCTTGAAGCAAGGAACACACCTGCCCGAAAAGCGCATCGTACAGCGCCATCAGCCCGCTCTGCCCGATCGCCGCGCACGCTTTCGTGTCCGGCTCGTGCTTCTTCATCTGGTGCAGCTCTTTAAGCGTGCTGTGAATCATCTTCTGGTAACGCAGCTTTTGGCGGCCCACTCCGACCGCACCGGAGCTAACTAGAATGACCTCGATTCCGTCCGAGAGGAGGTCCTCGACTTGCTCGCAGAGGGAGCCGAGGCGGCCGAGGGAGAGGCGGCCGTCAGGGCGGGTCACGACGGCGGTCCCGACCTGCAAAAAAAGTTGGGGTTCATTTGGTAACTGAGGCTAGGGACATTGACGGTCAAAGGAGCCGCTGTCCCGACATTAAGACGTCCCTGAGCCTCCCTCAGACTTTGCAAATGGACGATCAAAGTGGACCGCGGGAAAGACGACGACGGGACAGGTTATACGAGCGATGCCGACAGCAGAAACGATGAGGAAGTTCACTCGCCCTATAGACCAGGATTGAGAGGGTTCAGGACTCTAGTTTCGGGGCTGAGGGGTATCGCCAAATGCGTCAGCAGTGTTCCAGGCTGAAGAGGGAGTCAAGAAACGAGGCTGATGGATTAGAAACTGAGGTGCTCTGAGCTTGCACTGTGGGGCAGGGTGACGGACAAGATGGCCCAGAAGTGGGACAAGCAAACGGCGCTATCAAGGTGCAAAACGGTTGAGGTTCAAACGGCTGTAGAAACAAAGAATCTGCAACAAAAACTACCATGGCTCTAGACGTTGGAGAACTTCGACATCGACATAAGGAGAACATTGGAGCATGCTTGTCAGTAATGATAGAAGTCCACGGTCTCCAATCCGAATACCATGCAGAGGTACTCAAAACAAGGAGATTGAGCTCTGATAAAATTGGCAAGTGACAGCATATTGGCACGGTCTCGGCATCAGCAATCAGCTCTCCTCACTTGGTGCGAGCATAGCACCTCAGCTTATTGCAATGAGCATCATCGGCCATTAGACTGAGTTCCTCGAGTATTATACAACGCCATGTCAAAACGGGATAGTGCGTAATCAGAGGTTAAGGAATTATACAAGCATCAAGCCAAAAGAGTCAAGGCAACCACGCCCATTCACTTGTTGAAGAAAACATTTGAACCACTGCAGAGACGAATTGCCTTTGATGAAAGTGAAGTGCCGATGATAGCAAGCATTGCGTGGCCTCTGTGGCTGGACAGTGCAAGGATAAGGTGAGAAATAAGTGGCGGGCGATTGGGCTTTAGGAGCGGCACCATGGCTCATCAAAGTCCTAAAAGCATCAACAGCGTTTTTGCTGGAAGTCATGGAGCTTTGAAAGCGCACTCACTCGGCAAAGGGAATGAAAGCATGCCTCAAGCAACCCGTCAGGGTGAAGATGCAGCGTACAAGCCCTGAGGGCAACCAAAAGTTTACGCTCGCGGCAGCTCACACAATTAGTGATGAGGATGGGGGCTGTTGCATGATCTCTAAGCAATGATTAAAGGAATGGCGGTCTTCTGGGTAGCATAACATCATATCTGAGCAATGAAAGAAAAACAAAGGTCCTTCTTCTTGATTTGTTCGGAGACCTTTCAAAATGGTCAATGCCACGATGGTTAATAGGAGCGTAGCGTATTTGTGTCTCGTGTCCACAACTGGTAAGAGTTTAGGTAAGGAGTTCCCCAACTGGAAAGAGTTTGGGTCTAATACTCAGTGACCAATTATGATTGCAACCCGGCCAAATTGACGCTCAGTGGCATTGCATCGGCTGCAAAACAATGTCCCACAAAAGTAAATAGCCTCAAAGAAGTTGAGGTCATCAGAGATACGGTAGATTGCTAATGTCGTCCAGCTCCCAAGATTTCCCCTTAATTAGATGGGCCCCAACATCAAAAAGGTAGAACCAAAACGTCTTGACAAAAATAATATCCACGATAGGGACCGGAAGTCCAGACTTGATTTGCAGCCTATCAGGTGGAGAAGAAGCGCCCTGAATCAGATTTCAGCGCCCCACTCAAGATTAACATCCAACGGACGGTTGGTTTGACGTCTGCCTCGCCGCGAGAATCCAGAAGAAAGCTGGTGCCAAATCAAAACGCTGAGGTACAAGAATGGTGATCTGTGCGGAGGAGAACATCAAATACTCCGAAGCTACCCAACCAAACCAAGTTAAACCAAGCTCTTATCGCAGCCGCTTACCTTTATCACCACCCTTCGGGTACTCTTGATGAAGGCACGGAAGGGATCGGCAACGCCTTGATCTGGACCCGCCATTTTGTTTACTCAGGGAGTGCCAAGCTGTTGCTCTCAGATGTACCTTTGCAACTTTAGGAACCCCTTCAGCGTGCAGTGTGTGGGAGCATCTGCTGCCACAGTTCTACGGTACTTTTAACTTCTAATACCTTACTAAGTTTTAGATCTGAGCTGGAAGGAGAAACTTGAAAGCGCCCCAGATTTCACTTTTAAGTTTTACGGTTTCGTCCGGCGTTACGTGACTGGACTGCAGCCCCGGTGCGTACCCTCAGATTATCCCACTTTTCCGACCGTATTAGGTACGTACAATTTACAATTTAACGGCGGTAGGTGGGTACCGGTAGTTGCTACACAGTACGGTTAAAGTGTAATGCAGCACGATAAACGGTACGGTACCTCCTGACTTGAATCCTGGATGTACCCTCTGCACTGGGTACCAGGTGGAACTACCGTTACCGTACACTAGGGTTTCAATCATGATGTCAGAGAAGGTACTATCTGGGT